AGGTAGTGAGATGAGCGCAGCAAAGTCCTTTGTAACTAAAGCTGTCAAAAAGACTCGAAGTTTACTTGCAGTCTGCAGAGGATGTCATTGATTAAAGTTACATGCTGTGGCCTAATTGCAAACATGGTAAGAGTGTGTGCTGAGTGAATCATTGGTACTGTGGTATGTAACTTTATATATCCTAGTATCTCCTATACATGGCACTACAAGACTAGTCTATGGTAATGATCTTTGAGTGGCAGACGGGTAGACTTGGCCTTACAACGGCAAAAACATTCAAATTCCCCAGTTATAACGTTGATGTTACTCTATAAACAGCATATAAAAGTCAGTAATATAAGCAAACTATCCTTCTACCTTTCCTTTCCTAATAAAGGTATAACGTTAAATCGTAGGCAAGACCATCCTGAGGTAAACATATTGCATTTGCTTGCAAATGTTACCTTTCTAGTTCCATCTCTCTCTTCTCTTTCTCTCTCTCTCTCTCTTTCTTTCTCTCTCTGTCTCTCTCGCTTCCCCCGACTATATTTCTTCCTCGTCATTTATGTATTACCTGGCTAATATTTCCCGTGTGGGCAGGCCCCCCCTGCAGTGTTCACATCCTGTATCCAGCAGATTTGCCAAATCACGTTGCAATGGTAATAACATGGATTAAGGAACATTTCAGGAAGAAAGGGCTCAGCACAGCTGGTAGTTTTTTTTTATATTCTTAGATGAACCGAATTTGTTTATCGAAATGCATACCCTTTTGTTGACCATCTGAGGTCCGAAATTTTAGAAGTAGAAGCAAAAATAGATCATAGCTGGGGCGATGTATTATCTCCAAGCAGAGGCTAGTAAATTAGACTTTTATGGGGCGTTTTAAAGTCTTTTTGTCGCCTGTTTCTTTGTTATACTGGCGTAAAAACATAGCAAGACCGACAAAATGCAGGAACGCGTTGGAAATAATGTCAATGCAACTTGCAAGCCTAACCTCTGGTCGAGAGTACAATATATTCCCGCTGTATACCTCACCTGAACCCAGTGGATACAGACACGCCTCCCAGCGTCCGAAACAGGTCGAAGGCAAGAACGTTCATGGTGAGGAAGGCCACCAGGAACATGTAGTGCGTCAGGATGGCTAGAAACACGCAGAATCCTCCCAGCGGGATCTCATCAGAGAAAACGAAGAGTGTCTGCGCGAGCAACAAGGAGCAGGTCAGGTTGAGCTTCAGGATATCCGGGATCTTCTTGTACATCTTCTTTACAACGGCGGTGGCGATGAAGACGAGCATACTGACAACGGACAGGCTGCTGAGAGCAAGGGTCAGGATCTCCTGTGGTGTGTACCCTTGCGGCAGTGCGCTCGAGAGCGACACGGTGAAGTTAGGAGAAAACTGGAGAAAGTCGTTACAGACGAAGACGAAGTTGCCAAATCTGACATAGTGCTTTTCGTCGACGTACAGCCCGGAGAGAAGCAGACGCAGAGTTCCATTGGGCTCGAAAATTTTCCATTCCTCTTGATCGAACTGTATGAAGCCCGCCCGGCAGTCGGGGACGTGGATCTCATCCTCGATGAACGTGTCCAGGTCTTCTGACGTCGAGTTGTACTTTTCGTAGTCGTCGTGAAGGGATTCTTCTATTGCTGACACGATTTCTTCATCCAACTGACCGATGCTTAAAACATCTTCGACACTGTGTTCTAAGTCTTGAATGCTTGGCTCATCTGGAGCGGACTCTTGACTGAAGTCGTCTGAGGGGGTAGTCAGGATTGATGTGACGGATGAAAAATGTTTTTCTTTTTCCCGATTATGGTCAGAGACGCTTTTTCGATCTGCCTCTTGCTTGGATGATTGAATACCACTACCTAGATCCGTTTCGTTTGTACCTGCCCAACTAGGGTGGCCCAGAAATTCGACTTGTCCGTGATGTGTGTCCTGTTCGGAGTTGGTCAATTGTTCTGCTTCTTTGGAATTGATTGCTTGTTCTTTTGGCCCGTTTGAGGATTTGCCATTTGAGACCATGGCGTTCCAAACTGTCGATTGTTTGGGTGGAGTCTGCGTAGTTGAAACTTGTTCAGGTGTCCGGATCACTGTAGGGGCAACAGCACCGCTGGTATTGACGCTTTGTGTTTCCCCGCTCCCCAGGTTTCCATTTAATGTCTCGTTGTTTCGCCCTGTCTGTTCCGTAGTTTGACAATAAGCAGAATGAATACAGATAACAAGCGCAAAAGCCACGGTTAATAAAATGTTCTTCAATCCACTTACTGTTTGCTTTGCTGTGTAGCTGTGGTAGGGGAGAACGGACGACGGCATGTTGATCCTGTTGCAATCGCCTTGTTAGAGAAAATCAGCAGGCGCGGTCTGTCCTTGGTGCTGAAAATCTGTCTTAGTTCTACCAGGCAGTCTTGTATAGGCCCATTTTAACCAATGGGGCGAACAGGAAATTGAAGATCGGTTAATGTGCCTCAATAGCGCCTGACGCAGGGCACAGGTGGAAAAATCGCTTTTAAAATTTAGTTTGCTCCACCTACAGATGGATCCTGACTGTCCATCGTAATTAGATCAGCTTCAACCAATGACAGAATGTTAATTAGCGGTTCGACCAATGAGAAGGTGCCTGTGAAATATTTACATTCACATGTTTTTATTTTGCACTTCTACGTTTTGAGGGAGATGGGCTGGGCTATGGATTCTGTTCACGGGTGTGTTTTCGACGATTACCAAATATGGCAGACGTCTTTGGTTGATGGACACAGGATCAAACAGACGTAAAAGCGTTCAACAAGGTATGATCAAAGAACCCGTCTGTATGCTGTTGACTAAATGGTTTCTTCAAACCAGCGTATTTCGATGTGCAGCGTGGTGAAAATGTATACTTCTCACTACAAGGGAACGGGCATTCTCTTTGCCAAAAGAGTCTAAAATCGTGCACTTTCCATGTGTAATATTGCATATTTACAGAGCAATGAAGATAACAGCTGATACTCTGCTTATGAACCCTATATAGGTTATAAGCAATTCTTTCTAAGTGTTTCCTTTCAGTTTGATTTGATTTTAATTTCTTCATTTTCAAAATTTTGCCATAGCACTTCATTTTGCTCATCTTTTTCTGTCTTAGCCCTGTGCTCTCATATTAGGCTTCAGTATCCTGAGTTCGTCATCCATAGAATTATTTTGGTATGGCATAATGGATATCACCAGGGAGTGTGCCATTTAATATTGTATTGGGAGTGAGGACGCGTGTGCTCTCTTTGATCTCAAGTAATAAGTAGGCGTAAGCTAGGGTGTTACTCAATCCCTAGCCCACCTCATATGACTACGCAGAAGACCACACTCGTGTGTTCTAATAATAAAGTTTATAAACACTTCAAAATTTACACTACGGTAGGTGAAAAATTGAAGGAAACTGAATCACTGAGAGACACAGCCATGTTTCCAATAATACAACTCAATGTTATTGCAACTCTTCCAAAGGCAAACAAAATATGACAGTGGTTCAACGAAGCAAAGATCTATTTTGTTAATAAAACTGCTTTGCCACATATTCATTACTTATAACCTTTAGAGGATACATGTATTTCAACCATCTAATACAATTTGAATCATTAACTGAAGATAAGAGGCATATTTTTCATACATATGCCTGTTCAGAAAAGAGGCAAATTATTGTTCAAATAAGGCATTTTGCTTGAATGTGGCTCCACTGTGTACTGCTCCTCAGTTTTCATAGTAAGTCATCTGATGTTACAACATTATTACCAACATGAAGCTCCACCAAGTGTCCAGTGTTAGAACTGCTGCAGCCACCGTAGCTCCAATAAATTGTACAGTAAGGCATATTGTCCCTTGATACTACTTCAGTCCCACTAAATGTCTTAGCCTTATTGGTTTGACTTTCAAACTCAACTGATGCTAGGCCAGGCTGAGTTCTGTGCTCTTCCTCCTCGTAATCCATCGTGTGATCCTTGTTGTAGATACTGAGACAACTTGAAGACTTGAAACTTTCAGTAGACCCAGGGTTATCATCTACGATGATTCCATCTGCATGTTTCTTGGTGCTTTTTTGCGATGACTGGGAATCAATGTTCTCATGGTCACCACTGGACTGTGTATTGTTTGACTTTCTGTTTGTATGATTTTTGATATGCCTTCTCATTGTCTTGGGATTGACGCACTCATAATCACAGCTGTCACAGCACAGGACTGACCTGATTCCATCAGGAGAGTATCCTTTATACTTTCGATTATGCTGCTTCATATGTTTCAGTAAAAGATCATACGATTTACACTGATGTTTACAGAGCTCACAGGTAAATATCGGTTCAGTGTATGTTTGCCATGCGGCTAGTGCAGTGCTTGACATCTTTTTCTTCAAGTCTGGGTGTGTTTTCAAGTGTTTTCGCATCGTTTTGGGTTGGAGGCATTTATAACTGCATATCTCACAAGTGAGTACAGGTCTGTGGTATTTCCTCCAGTGTTTCTTTAATCTTTCCGGGAGGAAACAGCGATAATCGCAGCACCCACACTTCAGCCTGACTGTCTGGTCCATGTTTACCTGCCCTCCTGTGTCACTAGGTTTGTCTGAAGAACTGCAGCTGAGGCGGATGGAAAGTTGCAAGTCCGGGGATGACGTATGAAGTGACGAGCCAGTGTTTTCCCGCAATTTCACGTCCTCTAAATGTTCTGAGTCATCTGACGGGGGAGGGGGTGGAGGGTGGGGTCATTCACTCGGCAGAGGCGGCACCTGTAAATATTGGAGATATCGTCACATGTATTCCAGCATCAGGAAAAAAATGGAGGCGCTACACGAATTTGATATTTCAGGAAAAAGCAATTGTACACCATTTATATACCACTGCCGACAGTTCCATAATTGATAATAAAATATTTTACTGATGCCCCCCACCCCCTCTCCGATCTGTACCTTCAAGTTCTTACATATCGAACTACAGACATTTTCAAGTAAATAAACTACGATGAAATAACGTCGGGCAAACATGCGGAAACCAAAAGGTACGGGCTGACATGTTCAACGGTATGTTACTTATCTGTAGCTCTTAAGCTTGCAGCTGTGAGAAGAGGGTTGTATTAGTACAGCATGCAGGGAAAAATGTGATTTTTTTACCTCCATGATGAGTTTCCCACAAAACTTTTCACATTTATATGTCTGTCACTTCCACGTGGCGACGAAACTCAACGTAACACTGATATTGACCAAGTGCATTATGCTTTACATTTACAAATTCACATTACCTCAGAGTTTTCAGACTGTTGTTCGTTGTTGTTCACCAACTGCTCGATTTCGAGATTCCCGGCACTACAGCAAGAGATGACGTCATTTCTTCCCAGATTTCTTTGCGCGAGGTCCTGATGTCCAATAAATTGTTGCGATATACAAAATGATATCGCTAGAAAAGTAGTGATATTAATTATAAAACTTGACCACATTATTGTCTGCATGCGACTTTTTCAGTCTTGTACTTTTGTTAGTCATAATTAGGCCACAGCATTTATGGATGACATCGGCGCGCGCATTAATTTTCGCCTGATTTTGGAAAAAAAAAAAAAAAATTGTTGCCTTCTATGTGGCCAACATGCCGAAAATGGGCAAAGATGTCTGTTGCCATGCCGGAAGGTGGGTGGCAGATAACTATGAAGAGAGGAGACAAGAAACGGCTCTGATTTAATGTTTTGTTTCTTACTTTGATGCAGTGACATCACTGACATGTGATGCTGGCTGCGTATATGTGATGTTCCTACTGAATCAAAACCATTTATACCCTGATTGTTGAAATGTAGATCTAATGTAGATCTGAAGCTTTGTTTTTTTCGACCCGTCTTGTTTTGTTTTTTTTGCCCGCTCGCATTAGATTTGGAGTCTGCGGTGGATGTCATCCATAGAATTTACTTGCTGTGGCCTTACCACAGGCCAAACATTATAGGGCTACCTCTCATGACAAATTCTACCTAAAGTCATTTTACATACTTAGAATGTAGGGTGGTCAGTCAGGTATTCTCTTAAGCAGAAACCGGTTAAAATATGACAATGCGCTGTGTACCTGAACAAATTTTAGGTATAGGTCCAGACCTATATAATTATGTACCTGAACACGTTTGGCCAACCACCTGTTATACATGTGGCCAAATGTCTTCTTCGTGGTAAATTGTCTGGTTAACACGATCATCTACAGTACAGGTAAATACATGTGTAGCACGTGCCCTAGCATAGCACGAATGTTTTTACTACGCTGGTCCCAAGCTAGTGTTCTTAGCACGTCCACCAATTCATAGAAACCAAGGTCCTCCTCCCTCCTTGAGATCATATAATGCACAAGTACACAAAGCAAACAAAATCTATGATAGAACATGATTGAAATTTAATGATTCCATCTTAAGAAGAGAATGCTTCAAAATTGAGCTGCCCTTTCTACTAAAGGTGTACAAGAAGTACTACTACTAGCAGCAATTAAGATCTAGTTAGAGAGTCAAGGATTTAGAAATACAATATATGAAATAACAAGAACTCCAAATAGTAATGCACATCGAGGTATATGCACACAATGGTCACTATATAGGTTTAATTAACAGCGATGTATCTAACCAAGGAATACAGGGAATTCACAGAACCCCCATTACCAATGTAGTCCCAGTGTGGGTGGGGGAACATGAAAAGGAAACGCTCCCATGTGTTGCATTCAAACTGCACAGATAGATGACCAACCACAACCTCACATTGCAAGGACATTGCATCTCCCTCCAAAAACCTTACCATTACCCCACATAGTTCACACATACAGGTGTATTGCTTACATTCCTCCACCCCACAAAGAACATTTCTCTAGAATTAAACAGCTTTTCTGTGGTTTCCCACCTGTGTCAACAATAATCATCAACATCCATAAAGATTGATTAAAAAATTGTGCAACTTTCTGAAAACTACCTTTAGAACAACCAAATTTACAGTCCTATGTAGCCTGTGTTTACACAAACTCTTTATAGCTGGGGTTAATTTACCCCCTAGTAACAGTCCTAGAGGAGCATGCTGTCACCTTCTCATTGGCCAAACCAAAATTCTCATGCTATCATTGGTTGAACAGCTAATTGTTATGGACAGTTGGGATAAGTCTATTCTTAATGGTTGACAAGACATACCCCATTGTACTTTCCTGGATTACCCCTGACCCAGTTACATAATACAGTCTGCTGTTTTCAACCAAAAATATACCTCTAGTACACAAACATCTCAACAAACCAGTTTGCACTATGCTATTGCACAGAAAAATAGTTACATGACAGAAAGTGCACAGTCAAGAATGATGATGGTGGTTGAATCGGGCCTCAGAAGGACTGAGAAAAAATGCAGTGACAACAGGATGGTTGGCTGTAAAAAATTACCAAGTCAGCCATTGCAATGGTCTACTAATTAAAAAAAAAATCATTACTTGCTTTAACTTACTCACACCTAACCTGATAACATAATAAACAATGAAAAGCATCAACATGCAAGTAACTTAAGATCACAGTAAGGTAATAATTTTGTTCTGAAGGATGGATCTGTAAATTTTCCCCAAGTCTTAAACCTTACACCAAAAGTTTGACAGATTCTATTAAGTAGCTAGAGGTGTACATACAGTTTACAACTAAGGTCCACTGACTAAATGTGGTAATGTGTAAAAATGCTATGTCCTAATGACAGTGCCTCTATCAACCACGGTGGTGCTAAACTACACACATCAGAACAAGAATGTTAGTGAAACTTTTCATGATGATTCCTGATGGCAAATTTCCTGAGTTTGAGAAGAGGAAGGAGAGAAGCAAGCAGTGAAATGTAGTGAAAGTTTGTTGGAAGGGCTGTTGATGAAAGGATTTTAGATGGTCCACATACATTCATTGTAGTTCTACAGCTAGTCGTGATAAAATGTCAAAAGGGAATAGTCATAAGATACAACTTATTGGCTTGATGAAATGATACTTTTCTTGCATAATATGATGTCTTTGTTAGGTAAAACCCATCACCAATTGTTTAAGTGAAATATACAGAATGTATGTTTCTTCAGTGCACCTAAAAATGTGTACATCACTTTCAATTTAAAGTTTCTGCCAAAAAGATGACAAAATATACATGGTCCATGTCTCTGGATGCTCCCTCCGTAGTTGGGAAAAATACAAAAATCATATCAAAACAAATTTACAAAAGGCCTTTAGTACGCTAAATCCTACAGCTACAGCCCCTACATATGAGAACTTGTTGTCACTATAAAATATTTATGTGAAATTTTCTTTCCATGGCACTCCAAGAAAAATTGTTGTCCTCCACCTAATGCCATGGAACCTTGCAAAAACTTTCCAAATACTAGACCTGCTAATATGAACAGTTTTCTAGAATATCGTTTCCAACTCTTGTCTAATTCCTGTCGAAAACGTACCATGGAAACATTATTGGTCATTTTTTTACATAAACAGGATGCTACATCTCGTACTTGCATACTTAACAGATATATTAGTAATCAATGCAAAGGTTTACTTGCAATACTGCCAAGTCTGATGACCACCCCCATGACAATATGCTACAAATCTTAAGAATTCTGCAGTTGGATTTAATACATGAGTGTCAAACAATTTTTCCCTTTCATTTTTCAACCATGTTTATGCAGAAGTCAATCAGTTTTGGTGGTGGTGCTAATAAATTCTTGTCAATGACATATATTTCCATACCCATACTGTACATACTTGAAAGTTTTTTACTGGGTACTATAGTTTCAATTATGCCATTAATTTTTGGAGTGTTTTCATCGATTCAAAACATCTTTACACATTGCATTGTCATCCTTCGGAACTAAACCATAAAAAGTATGACAATAAAGACCTTCCTATATGCTAGTGTAACAGTATGGCCCCATGTTATAAAATTCCTGGCACAAGAGTAAAGATTTGTCACAGCAGGTGACGCTTTGCATGCTGCAGAAACTTCAGTTGAAAGGCAAACTGCTGTCCGCAAAACTGACACCTGATGGTCTTCCCTGGTGGGAGACCCGGCACCTTTGTACAAATGGCCCCTTCTATCTCTGAAGTCTGACTGTACTGTAGAGAAGAGATCCACGCAGACAAATCTGGTCCAGCTTCTTCTTCTTTCTCATCTGACGTCGGGTTTCCTGTCGACAACAGCTGACCTTCACTGCTGCCCACCGTCGATCCTGAGCAGCTGACACTACTCTCGTTGTCACACTGTGGTAAGTAGGTGGTTTCTTCGTGACCCTCCGGTTTGATTTCCTGTAGGCTTGGAACAGCGTTGTCCTCTGACCCGATACTTGCTGTTTCATGATTAACGAGATGCTCTCTGATGAGTTCCGCCTGTTTCTCTGGGGGGAACACAAAGGCCAGTTCCAGCTCGTTGGTGGTTTTGAGTAACGGCGGAAGATCAGAGTCATCATCTGTGTCAACAGTAGACATGGGACCACTTGGGTTCGAGTTCTGTCTGCACAGAACTGAGTCTGTGGAGTTGAGTCGATTTCTTAGCATTCGGTCCCCTGTCATGCTGCTATCTTCTTCTTCTTTGTCCCACTTTGAGGAAGGACTGCAATTAGCAGTTTCTTCAAGGTCTTCCTTTATGGAGATTTCCCTACTCCACTCCTTTCCATCGCCACATTTCTGTGATGCTGCTACATCTACCTTGCCCTGAATGTTGGCATAGTGGAACTCTTCTGCTGTGTCAAGAGCACCATCTGACTGACGATCAGTGTCCCCATGTTTCTCCATCACTGCATGCTGCTGACTGTCCTCCTCAGCCTCCTCACCTTGGCACAGACCATCACAAGGACATCCTGATGGGTTGATCTCTTCTCTTGGAGCAGGTTTGGACAATAAGGCATTTTTGGGATGCCAGGCACTGCTGATGATGTGGCGCTGGACATGGGCAAACCAGGTCTCCTGGTCTATGTGCATCTTGCCACAGAATCTGCACAGGAACCACAGCTCAACACTACCATCAGTGGTGTTCTGAATCTCCCTCACACAGCTGGAAAACAAAAAAGCACACAAACATTAAGGATAATTTTCAACTATCATCTTCCAATCCCCAGCAAATTTTCCCAATTTCTTCTAAATATTTAAAATCCAGCTTGGATACCAGCCTTTTTAGCCTTAGTATGCTCTCCTAGTTGCAGGCCCAGTTTTGTTGGCAGGAAAGCAACCATGAGAAGTACTGTCAGTCAGGCTGCTGAAATGTTGCAAACTCACCTGATCCCAGCATGTTTCTGTGGTGATCCCGCAGTGGTGGAGCTCACCCTGTCTGTGGTGGGTATGACCTCATCCTGTCCTTCTGTTTTGGCCTGCTTGTACTTGCCACAGACAATGATGTTCTCAAGCTCAATGTCATATTTTGCCTCTCTGTCCCCCTCTGAGGGGACAACCTGCCCTTGGAGATGCAGCTCCTGGTGACGTTTCAGCCAGCCCAGACCCTTGCAGGAGAAGGAGCACTTGTTACACCTGTATCTGGAGTGCTGCATCTTGGTGTTGTGGGACTTCAGGATGTGATGGAAGACAGTGCTGTAGCAGCGTGCCCTGTAAGGGCAGTACTTACACTTGTACGGCTTCATATTGAAGTGCGCATTCAGATGTGCCAAGAACTGATACTTCTTGTGCTTTTTCGTCCTGAACTTGCACTCTTCACAGCGTAGGTAGGCTCCTGTTTCATGCTGGATCTTGTGTATGAGAAGCCGATACCTGGATCTGAAGACCACAGAGCACTTCACACAGACATGCTGCTCCTTTGCTTCAGTTTGTTTGGTCACTGTAGTGTGTACACTAATCTTTTCTGGACAGTTTTCCTGATTCAGGTCAAAATCGTAAGCATGAAAAGCTTGCTTCTCCACGTCACCTGAGTTGTTGATAATATGGTTTTCTTCTCTTAGTGGTTCTGTTGCCACCTTGTGTACCTTCATGTGTCTGGTCATGTGGGTTTTCGTCCTGCAGACGAACGTGCAGAACCGGCACTGAAGGTGGTTGTGGGGACAGATGTCTTTGTGGTGTTGTATGTGCAGTTCAATAGAGAGTGGGATGTGCGTTTCAAAGGGACAATTTGGACATTTCAATTTAACATCATCTTCATCATCACCATCTGACATATTATTACAGCTGCTGGCAAGATCTTCTCCATTTCCTGTTGAAGCAGATTTCTCTTTCTCAATAACATTAGTCTGCTCAACTGCCCCACTCACCACAGGTTCTACTGAATCTGCTTTGTCTTCTTTATGCCACTTCAAGTGTTTCCTAAATTGAGCTTTGTCGTTGCAACCGTAGGAGCACAGCTTACATGTCCGCTGTCTCTGCTTGCACCTTGTATTATGGTGGTCCTTGTGGGTCGTCAGACAGTTCTTACGGAGGGTCTTGAATGGGCATAGGTTACAAGCATACATCTTACTGTAATCATACCCTGACTGACTGGATTTCTTCACATCATTAGATGACTGGATGTCTTCCTCTTTGCTGCTTTGTTTGACTGGTCTCAATACACGGACAAAATTTTTGTCACATCTGGCCTTGTGACGTAGCACCTTTGCTTTCTTCTTGTTTTTATAGCTACAGTTTCTACATTTGTACATCCTCCCATTTGTTTTGGGTTTCTCCTGTTCCTGTTCCATCTCTCCAAGTGAGGCAGAGCTTGTAGCCATGTGGCCTGTCTTTTCATGATGTTGCTCCATCTTTTTCTCTTCAATGGTAGCAAAATCACACTGACTACAGGCCAGGAGAGCCATCGAATATCTGCACTTCAGGGGTGACTTGCCTTTCTTCTTTGGCGTGTCCTTCTGAACTGGGGCTGTAACTTCTTGCCTTCCTGCACTCTGCCTAAGACTTTGGAGTCTCAGAATACTTCTCGAGTCAGCATCTTTCTTCTCACTAGTTTTTCTGTGATTCCTAAGTCTGAGGCTCCTCGCAACCAACTCTCTTGCCTTCCTTTTCTTTTCAGACACATCATTCCATGCCTTGTTCTTCTTGTTAGCATAGTCAGCTGTGCTGAAGTGTCCCCCCTCTTGGTGGTTGATGTGAGTCAGACTAACTGACAAGGTATACTTCATGGGCACAACCTGCAATGGATCAAACTTCTTCTGCCCTTCTTTTTCAGTTGAAGTAGATGCCACTTTGCCCATGTCCTTTGGGGGCCTGCCCCTTCTTCTTTGGATCAGGTGACAAGTGCCATCTCTTTGACGCTCTTTACCTTTCTTTGCTAACCTGTGTCCCTTACCATGTGCCAGAATGGGTGTTTCTTTATTGCCCTCTTCACACAGGCTGTCATGTCCCTGTTTCTCCTCAGAGTTAACACCTGTGACAGGTGGCAGTGTGCCTGGATCTGGTGAGTCTAAGCTCATCATTTCCTCGCTGCTTTGCTGTACACTAAGAGTTGTCTGATTCACTTCCACCCTGGGACGACCTTTTTTCATGTCCGCCTGGCGTAGTCTCCTCCTTCTTCTCTTTGCTGGTGGGTATTCATTATGCAAGTCCTCTCCCGCCTGCAATGTTCTCTTTCTTGACGAGGTTTCCAGCTGTTTGTTGATGTGAGGTATGTTGTTTTTGTTGGTACCAGGGACGTGGGAGTGTTCTTCAGGACGTGGGTAGTTCCTCGGTCTGCCTCGACCTCTCTTCATCACTCTGGACCTGATTGGATAATCTTTAGCTGGCAACACTGGTCTTTCTTTGGTTGGCAAGCCTACCTTCCTTGGTCTACCTGGGCCCCGTTTTAGGGGGATAACTGGTGGCTGCAGCATTGGGCAAGACACTTCTGTGGTATTGTCTTTTTCTGGTAGTCTTTGAACTTTTCTCCTTTTTCTTGGTCTACCTTGACTCATCTTTTTGAGCATGTTTACTTGCTCTAGCATTGGACAAGCCTGCTCTTCCATATTGTCTTTAGCAGGCAACGAAAGTGTTTGGATCTTTCTAGGTCTACCTGGTCCACGCTTTTTGGGAATGTTTACTTGCTCGGGCATTGGACAAGTCAATTTTTTCCCGCTGTCTGAGATTTGAACTCCATTTGGCCTTCTTCGCCGTAGAGTCTGCAAGAATTCTTTTTGAGTTCTCTCCTCATGTTGGCTTGAGTCTGTGACTTCGGGAGATGATGCTTCCCCTATCAATGTGCTGTCTGTTGGTGGTTCTCCTAACACTATGTCAGCTTGCATTGAAACTGTCAAAGATGGTGTTTTGTTTTCCCCAATGATATCTATACTTTGTTGAGCTGGTGCTTCTTCTGCAATAGAGAATTCTTGGGTTTGGCTTATATCTGGACAAGTACAGGGTGAGGTTTTGACAGACTCTTTGTCACCTTCACGCAAGCCTGTATGTGACATAGGTGATACTTGTATCAATTCCGCATCTTCAGTTGCATCTGGGACAGCAAGAGGTGATGTTCCTCGAGAAGTTGTACTATCTTCAAACATTGGAGATATTTCCTCCCTTGCATCACCTGGACCTGATTCTGTAGCTTCTTGACTTGAACCCTCCACCTGTGATCCTTCTGTCATCTTTTCTTGGCTTCTGTCTGAAACTGTTGATTCCACTGATGCTGTTTGTAACTCCTGCTCTTCTTCATCAGATTCACAGTCTGGGACAGTAATATTTGTATCTGTTGTCATAGTAACAAACTTATCAATATCAGTTGATTGCACTTGTTCCTCAGTCACAGAGTGCTCTTGTACAAGGTCAGGTGAAGTTTTCTTTGTGCCCAAATCAATGTCTGTTCCATGTGTGCTGTTGTTTTCTGTGAAGCTGTACACATCTGTTGCTTCACTGTCATTATCACTATCATTTATACAGCCCACTGCAGAATCTACCAAGTTTTTTCCACCAAGTTCTAATGGCACTTCAAAACCAGGATCTGCAAGTTTTAATTCCTGATGGGAAACAGGCACATCTTTTGTTTCCTGAATATCTTCAACAGCCATTTCTGAATGGTTTTCTTTTGTAATGATTTCTAGCTGGTGGAATACTGGAATGTCTTTGTCTTCACTTGGTACCTGGTTTGGTTCTGTGAGTTGGGCAGATGTTTTGGGGTCTGTCTCATTACCCAAGGTTTCTTGCTGGATGATTACTGCAGTGTCAACCTCTTCAAGTGTCACCTGTTGTTGCCGCTGGGCTTGTTCAACTTCTTCTGAGTTACTTTCTGTCCTGGTAGTTTTTTCCTGGTAGTTTACAGTCATGTCATCCTCTTCCAGTGTTACCTGTTCTTGTTGCCTGACCTGGACAACCGCTTCTAAATGAGCTTCTTCATTGTTAGTTTCTTGCTGGTTGATGACATCATTGTCATCTTCTTGAAGTGTCACATGTACCTGTTCTTGTTGCCTGTCTTGTACAGTTGCTTCTGAGCATGTCTCTTTCCCAGTAGTTTCTTGCTGGTTGATGACAGCAGTGTCAACCTCCTCAAGTGTCACTTGCTCTTGTTGCCTGACTTGTTTAACTACTTCTGAGTCGGTTTCTTTCCCAGTACTTTCTTCCTGGTCGTTTACAGTCATGTCGTCCTTTTCAAGTGTTACCTGTTGCTGTTGCCAGACAACTGTTTCTGACTTAGTTTCTGTCCCAGAAGTTTCTTCCTGGTTGATGACAGCAATGTCAACCTCTTCAAGTGTTGTGTGTTGTTGCCTGACATGTTCAACTTCATCTGAGTGAGTTTCTTTCCCAGTAGTTTCTTGTTGGTTGACTATAGCAGTGCTATCCTCTTCAAGAATCGCTTGTTGTTGTTGATGCCTGACTTGTGAGTGAGTGTCTTTCCCAGTGGTTTCTTGCTGGTTAACTTCAGCAGGGCTACCGTCATGAAGTGTTACATGTTGTTGTTGGTTGACCAGTATAATTGCTTCTGAGTGAGTTTCTTTGCTGCTGGTTTCTTGTTGGTTGATTACAGCAGTATCATCCTCTTCAAGTGTTACCTGTTGTTGTTGCCTGCTTTGTTCAGCTGCTTCTGAGGGAGTTTCTGTCACTGTGACTTCTTCTTGACTGACTATAGATGTGGCCTCCTTCTGCACTGCCAGTTGATGTTGCTGTAAGACTTCAAAAGCTGTTTCTATGCCGGTATCTTCACCGCTCCCTTCTGGTTCATGGGTTACAGTTACAACTTTCACCTTGTCTTTTACCTCATGTTGCTCTATGTCTTGAAGAACTGTTTCTGAGTGGTTTTCTTCCCCACTGTTTTGCAATGGCACCTGTTTCACATCAGTGTTTACCCCATCTTGCTCTGTGACTGGGACAACTGTTTCTGTGTGTTTTTCATTCTTACTGTCCCTTTGTTGGTGGATTCCAAGCGGGCCCTCCACACCATCCACACTCTGATGTTTCCCTTTGATTTCTGGGAAGGTTTCACTGTTGTGTGCTTCCCTCACACTTGTCTGCTCCTGCTCTTTTTCATGGAACACCTTGTGGTTTTCACAATTGCTTGATTTGCTTTGAACCTCATCAAGTATGATACATTCTGCAGTAGTATCAATGTCATCTGACACAATGTTCTTTTGGTATGGTGCCTGCTCTTTGGAATTATCTTGCAGACAGCCTATCGCATTGGCTGTTGCAGAATCATGAGATCTGAGGTGTTTTTTAAGACGAGATTCATAGTCTGTACTGAATGCACAGCCAGCATGTATGCAGGAAAACATATTCTTTGGGGTTAAGACAACTGTCTGTGGTGTGGCCTCCTTCTCAACAACCGTAATTCCGCTCTGTTTGTTTCTGTTTTTACTGTTCCCAACATAATCAACAACACGGAGCTTTGACAAAGAACTACTTGCTTTACAAGAGTTCTTTAGGACTGGTTTTTTATTGCACTCTTGCCTGGCAGAATTTTCGATGATGTTTGCTGTTACGTAGTATGTTTTCTCCTTCTTCCTGGCTCCGCCATTATGCATTTTCTCATCTTCCGCCAGCTTGGCTTTCTTGGATTTGATGTAGTCATTTATACTAGCCTCTGTCAGGTCTACTTGAATCCACTCTATGGCAGACCCATTTCCCCGCAGCTTGGCAATCTTACATGTTTGGACCTCCATTCCGTCAGTTTGGTTGGCACCTTTGTCTTTAGCAACACTGCTATCCTCCACCCTTGAGGCTGGGGAGACTGTTGGTATGTCATATTTGGAGGGTCTGCCAACTCCAGTGTATGGAAATGCTCCTTTTACATTTGTGTCTCTCTTCTGAGGTGCATTTACAGGGGCAGAAGATGGATCAGTCTTCCTCTTCTCAGCTGTCTTGAAAAGTCCATTGTCCTCAGTAGAGCCCAGCTCAACATCAGCTAAGGCAACCCTCATAGACAAGAGTCTTTTTGTACATGGCTTTGGAACTTTCTTTGGTTCTTTGTGACTATTTGCCAGGTTTTCTTCGAGACTTGTTCCTGCACTGGAGCTTTTTACTTGACCATTTCTAATGGTGTGTTTCTCCAAGGATCTGTCAGGCTTTCCTTTGTAGCTGGACGAACCCAACTGTAATGAGTTCCTTAGAGTTCTCTGTCTTAGATCCACTGTAGAGAACTTAAATGTCCCATGAGTAGATACCTGACTAGCTCTATCATTGGTAACATTGGTTACCTGTTCTGTCCTGCACTTCAGAACCTCAGGGAAAGTGCCAGGTTCCTTTGTCTTACTGCTAGCCAGTTTTCTAAGACGTAAGGAGCACTTCCTGACCTTCCCGGTGGATTGTGGGCCAGTGAGGGTTTCCTGTACACCTTTCTTTCGTGAAGACAGCTGGGAGCTTCTGGCTTTGCTACAAGTTTCTGGAGTGGGTGGCATCTTGACTGGAAGTCCTTCTACCAATGTTGGCCAATAGTTATGACACTTTCTAGGTTGTGCACATTGTGTTCCAGACACTGTAAAGCACTGTTTCTCCACCTAATACAACATGTGATTCTTCTTGCTTGGCATCTTGACAGGGTTGATGGGTTAACATGGAGCCTGTACACACCTGTCAACAGAAATAAAATTGATAAACATACATCAGAAATTTCGTACAAAGACTAAAGACCGTCTTCTCCTACCTCGCTGTACCACACAAATGTAAAAGGAACATTTCCATACACTGGAGTTGGCAGCTCATTAATGTGAACTGGGTTGGCATATGCTGTGCAGTGTGCACCCAAAATTTTTTAGTGCACCTAATTTTTCTAGGTTATTCCCAAAATGAATTTTGAGCCCTAATATGTTTTGAAGTCTAATTAAATTTTAATGCTGACAGCTAGGTGTTACTAATTAGCTAATTACATGTATTTCTAACATGAATAATTGAATACATGTATGTACACCAGCTGCAAAAAGACTATAATGGTTTTTTTGGGGATATATATGGTAGGCATAGCTTCATCTGCTGCATTTTGTAAATTTGTCTGGGTCAAGCTATTTGCTTCAAAGGAACTAAGCTTTGTCCGGGATGGTAACCACAGCTATTTGAATAAACATTGGAGACTAAACATCCAAGTCAGATATGCTTTAGTCTGTCTAAACAAATTGCAAAAAAGCAGTTTACATACCTTTATATATGCAACACATAGTGACATACATCATGTATGATTAGAGTGTAACATTGCTATTATCCTTGACCCTGCATGACCTTTATATCCTGCAGTTCAGGATCCAGACATCCAACCAACAACACCAGAACCAGTTTCCAAAACTAAAGCAAGCTTCGCTTGGCTGCACACGGCCTTTGTCTGTCCCACATCCTGAATACAGTTGAATGCTACCTTTACATACATTCTTTGAACATGGAATACTGCTTGGGCCCAATAAATACTACTTTAACAGTTGCTGTGGATAGCTTTCATTAACCATAATATATAATTGATCTAGTTTGGGGCAGTTGGCATGGGGCCGTGGATTGTTGTGTCTAAGGTACAGTATAGGAGGCGGAGCCTATCCCTATCTTTCCACCACCTTTTGATCTTGTGTCTGCTAGCGGCCCAACTATTATTTCACAGCAAAGTTGTAGTCAAATTGGGGAGGCAATATTAAAATTTTCATCTTGTGCGACATAATTTTGCTTACTGCACTTTAAAGTGTTTATGCAGGGCTCAAATACTGGGTGCATATGCACCTTAGTACAGGTAAAATTGGATCTGTGCAGGTATTGCTGGTGTTAACTTGTGGTTGCACCTAACTTGCACTGGTCCATGTATTCAATGGGTTTATATACATTTGCTGCGAATTTGGCTGTATAAGAAATAGTGGCAATGGTTTCAGAACAGTTTTTAGTATGATACATACTTCCCAAGGCCTAAGTAGTGCAGATAAAATTTGTCTGGTGCAAGTAATTTTCACCAGTGGAAATAAGCCGAAAAAAAGCATTTCAAGCCCTGTTATGACACTAGGAATACAACATTTTCGTATGATCCACAAGTGCAACAATAGTAAGATTACTTGTAACCTGTTACCTATTAGCACTCAGCGAAGGAAATAAACATTGCATTATTTTGCAATTGCTAGTAACTATATGATTATATATATATGCACTGTTCGCTTCTCAAAATGACATTTTCTGCAAGCCACGGTGAACTAACAACACACCTGTAACACTTCCCCCACCATGCCCTGCACTTGTATTGTTGTAATTGTTGATCAGCTGAGTCTTTCTCAGCCTAGCAGCACAGTTTGTTCTCTGCTGAAAGAAGAGAGTATAAAGAGAAATATAGTGCTGCTAAGGTAAAATAGTCTGCTACTCGCTTGGACACTATTTGACAAGTGCGCTTTTCATAAAACCATTGGATCACAGATAGTGAGAAGATGCTGACTTGTTCAATTATCATAATTTTTTCCTTGTAGCAGTCTGCAAAACTCACAGAACAAATCCTTCCTTTGTTTTGGATTCAATAAAATGGCCAGTGGAAAGGCTTATATCTGCTCATTATTGTACATATATCTACTCTATAACCTGTATAATTTGTACAGTATACATTGGTGTGATTTTTTCCAAAGAAGCAAAAAAATAATAATTAAGTTGGCTTCAAAGTTCAAGTAAAAAAATATATAATTTAATATAGATTATTAAAAAAAAAACTCTACCACAATAAGAACGTTTATTTGGCTATCCAAGTTAGTCATTAAAGCTTAAAATCGAAGCCGGGATTATTTATTAATTGGTTTCGTCGTAATCAAATGGACAACTTTTTGGAACAATGGCCAATTATAATATTTATGGTTCGTTTCTTCAAACAAAGCTAGCTGTACGAAGACACATTTTCCAAGATACAAAACACGTTGCTTCGCCGGTCGCTAAAACACACCAGATTACAAGGATTAGCCTGCAGTCAATAGAAGTTTCTCACATGTAACCAACAAGCCCTGAGCTGACCCATATACCCCGTTTTTTAATGACTTACTTGTCTTCAAAACAAACCTTGAGATTTCTGCGTTGATTTTTTCCACACTTTAGCCGCCATTTTGACCAACGATAGCAAAGCAATGTAAAACCACGTTCTTGCAATGTATTGTTTACATTGAATACGAAAAAAGGCACTTTGTTTCACTTTGATCCACTCAAATAATTTATTGTGCCACAAAAATGATAGATTTTGTCATACTCGTTGAATCCATGCGAACTCAAATTCTGATACTTCTTGCTGTTATAATGCGCTCAATCTCCTCTTGTGACCTTTTGACCTCACGGGAATGAGGTTTGGTAGGGATCGTCCATTATGTATATTAGGGAGCGTTCAGAATTCACTTGCGGGGATGTGCCCATTTTGTCATTCCCCGTATTGGTCGCAATTTTTCTGCGTCTTTAACATAACATGGTACTTAATTTTCAAACCGCACAATCCTTCTCTTGCCACTGTGTGCCAAGAAAGCCAAACACCTATCAATGTGATGAAAATCCGTAACTGTTAACCATTTGAACCCTTAAATTTTAGTGGTATTTAAAAGAGATTTATTAAATCCCCTTGACCTACATGAATTAAGGAAACAGAAGACTGGATGAACAGCACCAGGGAAGAATCATTTGCTTGTACATTTGTATCTTTATATATCTTACCTGCCTGCCTGCCTACGCTTGTACATTGTATCTGCATTATCGGGCCTGTTTCAAAATTAATGAGTGCATCATCCATAGATAACTTGTAGCAACGAACAAAAGTTTAGAGCGTACTTAATAGAGGCCTTTTTAATTGCTTATCTTGATGAAAAAACAGTTTGTGTTGATGCAAGGAGCTTGGTTGATTCAAAAGTCCCGTAGTGCCACCTGCACAGCGGGCACCCCCGTATTTATGCAAAGTGGTATAGTCCACATCGCCGCACCCCATTGGTCGACGTTGCAAAGACTATGCCATGCTCGCGGGCGTCTTTGTATGCATGGTCCTTGACATGGTTTGTATGCGGTTTAAAACCATTTTCTTTACAACAGTGACGGTTTTGAACCTATTAGATGTGTGTAGTGTCGTACGACAACTTGTTCGATAGTTCAGCCTGTGATCTGTGCTCCACGAACTCTTTCTGGCGACCCTTCCTTGCTCACCGCCCCGTTCTATCGGTCCCCACTGCTGAGAGTGGCCATTTTTAGTTTTCCGGGGTTGCAGAGGGCGGGTTTAGTGTAGGATCTGGCGGGAAAGCCACGATACCGACACCACAAGGCTGTGGCACGGCCTGTCAGACTTTCTCCTAGTCTTAGTCTAGTGCGTATCTTGAGGGCGCGGCCGTGTATGTAGCGTGTAAATTAGATATCTTTATGTTGTGTTTGGTAGAAGTTCGTCCTGATCGCGCCTAGCGCGGTACGCTTACCAACAACAAAAGTCAACCCGCGTTTCGTTGTGTACTCTTTCCCAAGCGATCAGTGGTTAGTTTCTTTATACTCTTCCGGGTTAGGGCACGGGTTGGAAACTGGTACTGGTAATTACCGCGTAGAACCAGAAGTACAATGTGCTAATGAAGTCCAGTCAAACAGGCAATATTAGATATAATTGGTCTAGGCTGGTGGGTGTGGCAGTTGAAGACTAGCTCAGGTGTTCTCCTACAAGGTTTCAGCCACCCCCCTCCCACAAATGCACGAGGGTCTGCATGCCTAATTTTCTGTGAGCTGTAGTATCATGGGGGCCTGCATGGGGGGCCAGACAACGCTCTACGCTAAATTTTGAGAGATGGCGTATTACGCTGAATTGAGGAAGCTTCTCGATTATGCTTTACGTTAACTTCCAAGTGCCTACAACGCATTACGTAGATTAAACACGGCGATTTCGCTCTACGCAAAACGTTCCAATTACGCTCTACGTTGAATTAGAACGGTCCGTCTACACTCTACGTCGAATTAAAATGGCCGATTACGCTCTACGGAAAAGGGCATGCGGGCCCCCTATCATTGTGAATCATAGCTGGCCCGCCTTAGGCCCGGTTCACATGTGCGTCGTTTATATGTGTGTTGCACGCGCGTGCCAAATCGCCTACGACACTTTCCCGTTTCCACACAGGGACCGCAGCTCCCGCTTTGCATCGGCCTGCATCGTGCTGCGTCACGTGGTGAACCCTGACTTGCCGCGACCTTTGACAGACAGGAACTGAAGCGCTGTTGTTGTTTTTCATGCGACAAATGATGATTTTCTTCTCTCGCGCGTACTTGCAGCGCCGGGCATTGTGCAGAAGACCGCTTGGACGTCATAGAGAACGGAACCACGATATACAACGGGCAGCTTTCCAGTGTAGCCACAATTACTGAACATTCTGTCACAGTTACACAGCCCAATCAAACAGTGCGTTTCAGCGCTGCTTCAGTTAGAGCTGTTGACTTCCGCCATGCTCAGCAAACAATCAGTAATGCTGAGCAAACAATCTTTACAAAATAATCCGAAGAAACAATTAACAACAAGTAGAAATTGTTTAAAAAAATTGCACATGACCCATGACCTACTGTGACGCAGAAATGGGCTGCGCGCAACGCAGGTCTGTTTACATGATGTTTTTCCGCACCCGCAGACTCTCCGCTGTGTGTCGCAACGCACTTGTGGCACCTCCTGAAGGTGCCACAGAAAAAATGACGCAAGGCGCAGCGTGGCGGTGGCGGGCCTGTTTACACGCTTGAAAAATGTGTTGTACGACGCCCGACACATAAAAACGACGCACGTGTGAACCGGGCCTTAGTTTCACGGACGAGATCAGGCTCTATATCTGAAAGCCGGATGAATTTGACTCGCATAGCGTTCACAAGAGGTTTTTCGACGAGGAGAACCCCTACCAAACCACCTCACTTTCTGAAGAACGGAGGGAAACTTTAAAAAAAGCTGTTGATTTGTGTTCACACCAAGCTAAATTCAACCGTTTATCCCCATTAATGAGTTAAGGCCACACCAAGTAAATTTTATGGATGACGTCCGCGCGCGCATTGATTTTGGCCTCTTCCTAGAAAAAAAAAAGAAATTCCGCTTCCTGTAACTATGACCAAAGAGTCACAACAGTGCCTCAAATCGTTAGATTGACGTGAAACCTGTAACGCGAAATGGGTAAAGAGCACATGCTTTGTTTCTGCAGGCCTGCAAAAATGTGATGAAAGAAACAGGACAGGACGACAACTGCTGTTCCACCTGATTTATTGCTGTTTTGATGATGAATAAAAGACTTCTTGCTTGTTACACTGTGTCACCTCATTCAATTTGTGTCCTAACATTTGTCGTCTCTTAGTATATTTCTAATCTAGGCATCTTGTTTTTTAGGGCCCTTCTTGTTTTTTTTTTGACCCTGTCGCATTAGATTTAGGGTCTCCAAAGGATGTCATCCATAAAATTTACTTGGTGTGGCCTAATCTGGTTTTGTGAAGTCACAGGGTCCATGGTAATACAGTAACCAAAGAGTTTTGAGGGTTCAGGTTTGAGTTCACATGTCTTATAATCAGCAGCAAAATGATGTTTCACGGTGGTGGGCCCCAATGTCTCCACCTGCTTTAGAAGAAGTAAGGGTTGCTTGTTAATTAGAAACATCCATTTCGTCGCCCATAGTGAGGTATTTTCGTGTTATGTTCGTGTTGATGCATGTTTTCCTTTTTTTGCCGCAGTTTTTATATTTAAGTAAATCCATATTTTAGAAACACCTCTATTTTCATAATTGTGTCGTAGGCGAGGTGCTGTATTGTAGCCTGGAGTCCAGCCTTGTTAGCTTTGGCGGACCAAAGCTAACAAGGCTAGACTCTCAGCTAGCTGTGTTGTACAGTAAGCGGTGTTTTTTTTGTACTCGTTTGCGAGTATCTGTTAGGATATTGTGACTTATAGTTTGCCTCTACCATGATATCTTATAAAATAAATAATATGCAGTAAATGAGAGACATTGTTATGGAAGATGACTGTTTTCATCTGTTTAGTAATTTGTTGCATTGATCTTATGTAGGCTACATACATTTATTTACTTATTTATACAAACTCTCAACCAGGGGTTTATGACCCCCACCCCAAGGGGGGCGGCCACCACGAGCGCGATCTTATGTATTTAACCAGGGATTTAGCCATTTTTACGATAGGTTGTTACCAGTTGTAAAGTGCTCACTCACTGTTTACATACAATATACCCGGTACTGTTCCCAATCTGCAAAAGATAAAACTTCACAGAGAATTGTTGCCTGTAGACTCTTGTTGTGTTTACAGACAGACAGACACACTACCAAAACATAAAACCGTATCAATCTATTGCACGAAATACATACAATTGTAGAAAACTGTTAGGACCATGGCAAGGAATATTTTGTGTGATTGGGAATTAAAAAGTCATACAAGATGGAGTTTGGTAAACCTGTTGAAACACAGTCCTAGGAGTATGATATTGTAGAGCATGTTGGCTGTGCATGTATTTGCCAGAGAAGTCTTTTTGAAAACTGCCAACATAAAACCACTGCAAACACAACAATTTATTGTATGTACCCTAAAATTTTCAGCATACTATTAATTTTGATGAATATAATTAAATATTGTCTGTCCAATGCATCCAACAGGCAGTCTTTACTGTGAAAGAGGGCTGACAGAGCAAACGGGATCAGCAAAGGTTGCAGTGAGGACCATGGAAGGGCAGAGCTGTGCCACAACAGCTACATCCCAACTTGTGTCGGTGGTGAGCAGCACAGAAGTTAACCTTCATCCCGGATCCCGCTGCCCAACCCTGTAACCAATACAAGTTTGGTGCCAAAAGGCCATGTGATTAACACGTGAAACTACACTTTATTCATTTAGCCTGCAGAAAGTCATGGATTCTTGTCTGCTTTAGTCACTAACTGTGACTCTACGTTCTACCTACTTAAGAGGGCCTGCATGGGGGGTAGTGATTACGCAAAATTTCCGCTGCTGATTGCGAATGACATTAAATTCTCAAAGCTGATTACGAATTACGTTAGATCATGAGGCTTCCCAACTGACTTAAATGTTTAACGCAAGATTCAACTGTCTAGTTCTGCATTAAAACTCTTGATTTTATGTTGATTGAAGTTGACGATGAATCTTATTATGACCACACTAAGCTATGAAGACTGAGAAAGTATAGCGGAAATGTATATGCTGTGGATACTGGCTTCCTAGTTGTGGGGCACTCCATTCACCTGATTTGCAACTTTTGCTGATTTTACCATGGCCTTCTAGACAGGGTCCGATTTATTGGTCAGAGGCAGCGGCAGGAAATTTGGCATGGTGGGGCACGATTTTGATTGAACAATATTTCCCCCTATCGAGTGCCGAAGGCGCGAGTTGTCGCGCCACAGGCCCGCAGTCATACAAGACTGCATGTGTGGGACGTACTTGATGGGGGGGGGGCTGATTACGCTTTACGGAAAAGGGCATGCAGGTCCTCACTTAACTTACCTTTCGAAGCCTTAAGCGTGACAATCAGTACTATATTTCAGGGTAGCCATAGTTACCAATTTGTTGTAAAGAACACCAGACACAATATTCTGCAACAGATAAGTTTGTATTTTGTTATATTTGAATGTAGAGAATATGAAAACTAGCAAAATTTCCATCATTTTACAATAGACTGCCCCATTGATGCAGAAAGACCCAGCTGGCAAAATTTTACAAAGCGCAAAGACTGTCATGCTGTTCAAATAAATGCAAATTGGCTGATTTCATCAAGATATCTTGTTAGTTACCACGATTGAAAATGAAGCTGTCATCATAGGCAGAGATTGGGCAATTTGCCAGTCCCAGTCTGCACTAAACACAGCAAACCTGCACCTGGCGACCATTTACAATATGACTTTCGAATGGCTATGAGATTTGTAATCTACAACTGACTGTAATAATACGAGAAAGAACCAGCCTTTGAAGTATATGTATCGTAGTATAGTAGGTTTTTGTATATTTAGCATATAGTAGGCTTTTGAAACTAACCTTTTAGTTTCCTTTGATGTTCATCCAGGATGAAATGAGCTCATCAGAAGACAGTACTGCAACACAAGTGTATGCCAGCGGAACTGAATGCTGCAGCTGGACTAGTCCTGTCGGTGGTGACAAGAAGGGCGCTGAGACTGACAACAATGGAGCAACTACATCCAGTACTCCTAACGTACGGGAAGTCAAATCCAGCAATGATACAATAATATATGTATTACAGGACGTTCAGTCCAATAAGATGGTAATACAAGTACCGGTGGTTGCAAATGAGTCAGGGGTTATAAGTTGTAGCAAGTCAAGTCCAGTAGGATCCCAGGACACACCTGCAGTTGTAGGAGATCCTCAAACAAGTACAGGTTGTCTGACTGGGCCAGACCATGTGTCTTTAAATCTAGGAGCAGGTAGCACAGGGAATCAGTCGTCAACTTTTGTTGACATGACGGAATCTTTGTCACATGTTGGTTGTGTTACAGAGGGAACACTCGGTAACCAAAGTGTCACTGCATTGTCCACTGATGCTCATAACCACACAACCATAGTCGAATGTAACCCAAGCTTCATCCCTGAAGAAGATCTTACACAAACCACATCATGTACCAAGACCTCCTTCAGAAATTCACCTGAAAGGGGTACAGAAGCACAGAAAGAAGGCTATCTTGACCTACCTTTACAAGATGCTGAAGAAGTGGGAGGAAATTGTCTTCTGCCAGTAACGACAAATGATAAACTGATGTCAGAAGATGGAAAGGAAGAAGAGAAAAGTCTTGAGGTAGAAAGAAATGAAACAAAAGAACAGGAAGGCCCGGTACAAACACCACATAAATTACTAAAGGCATCTTTCACTTATCCATCTGGCTTTCGTCAAGCAATTTCTTTGGATATGTTGATCACTGATCGGAAGAAACAAGGGCGAGCTATGAAAGAGGCTGAAAGCATTCCATTTGAAAAAGAGACCAATGCAGTCATCGGGGTAGGAACTACAGAACTGTCAGAAAACCAAACTGTAAAACAGGTTATAAGTTGGGATACAAAGATCTTACAGAGTCACAACAAGGAACATACATTAAGCCATACCCTGAATTCGAAGCGTCACCATGACGGGAGAGAGAAGTCAGAAAGTATCCCAGACCATACTGCAGGTGAAGGAGAAGACAATGTCTCGGAACTGATCGTTGTGGAACCTGCAAGAAAGAGTGTGGGCTTAACAGGTGACAAAAATATGGAAAATTCGTGCAAGATGCACCTGGAACCTCTAGATCTTTCAAACACCAATGAAGTAGAGAGGACAGGTATCCTATTTAGGGAACAAACCATGCCAGAAGTAACAGACAACAGTGGGGAAGATGTATTGGTACCTAACATGGCTAACAGTGAGGAAAACCTGATGGAAGAAGATGCAGAGTTGGCAGATGAAAACAATTCAGTTCCCATTGACGTCACCAGTTGTACCCTCCATGAAATGAAGATATTAGAGGAAGACATGCCAGAGATGGAAAATTGTGAGTCACCATTGGACAAGTCCCAGGCCTGCCCCAAGGAGGTAGACTTATCATGCGATCAGCGTGAAGAAGACTTACAGCCAGAACAATTGTCGGACAGTAAGTGGAAGCATAGTTTCACCTGCAACATCTGCTCCTTCACTGCATTTTCAGTGAAGGACATACAAAATCACTGTGCTAAGTGTGAAGAGGTGAACAGTGAATGTATGTCCATAGATACATGTTCAGTGCCTCAAATCACAGACAGTCCCCAGTGCAATGCGTTGAAGGAAGGGTGCCATGTTGAAGTCCTTTCCGACAAAATTGGACCCACAGACTGTGACTTGTCAAATCCTGATGCACAGAGCATGTCGGTGATGCTGAGTCAGGAAGGCAGCAATGCGGTCAATGATGAGTCTGCCGGCCCACTGCAGCAAAGAGTCCTAGCAAGTACAGATAATGCAGGCGGAAAACGTAGTGTCCGTGGAAAGAAGAAATCACCCAGAAATATCTGTCAAGGAGAAGATCCTACCATGGCTGGTTGGAAAGCTATAATAGTTCATCCAACACAGGGGAAGGTAAGAACCAGAACATTCTGGCGGTGCCCTGACTGTCCTTACAAAACAGACAAGATATACCCCAGTATCAAGGAGCATGGAGCTCGCCATGTCGTGTCTGCAAAATTTCCGTGTGACGTTTGCACATACTCCTGTCCCACAGAAATTGGAATCCGCAGTCACAGAAGAATGCACAAAAAGGACCGCAACCAAAAGTCAAGAAAGAAAGACAAGGCTGAGGTACAGGTCTTAGCACGGCAGCTAAGAAGGAGATTGAGGAGAAATAAGAGGGTCTACAGGTGCAGCAGGTGCAGTTTTTCCACCTTGGTCCTGGCAAGCTTTGAAAAACATTGTAAAAAGCACACAAGAAAGGTTTCTAAAAGGCACACACAAAGGAAAAATGTTGCCACCATAGGGGAACGCACTACCACTGCTAATGATCTCAAGAATGAACAGAAAGATGAATGTGTTCATGAGACAAATGAAGCAAACAGCTGTGATAGTCAAACGTACAAAGTTCCAGCTACATCATTGATGGCCACCAAAAAGTTGGAAGTGCGAGATATAGAAAAATGTAATGACAAGTCCTCACAGAGAGAGTTGGAAGTGTTGTCTGAAACCTCAGGTTCCAGTTTCACAAACCAGAGCTTCAATGAGGGAAATACCATCAGTCCTCCGCAACGGGCCAAAACCAAAAAGTACAGCTGCATTAAGTGCTCATTCTCTTGCAATTCTTGGTTGTCAGTTAAAGCTCACATGGCAGTTCACAAGAAGGGGGTGACAAATACTGCAATGGAAATTGAATCCTGTACAGATGAAGAGGAACAGGCAAACAAACTGGAAGAGAGAGATGCTAATGACAAAATCACATGTGTGATAGTTGATCCTCACAACGGGTCACCTCCTGACACGCCCACACGCCCCAAAAGGAAAATGTACAGGTGTACCACATGCCCCTTCAAATGTGACAGAATTGGGTGGCTGATTAGCCATATGAAACATCACGAACTGAGTCAAAAATTTTCATGTGAATTCTGCTCTTTCTCCACATCACACAAGATTGCTCTGATAAATCATCAGGGGATACACTCTCCTGATTCAAAGAAAGGGACTGCAAGAACTCCCATTGGTACAACAGCCACAGATGAGTGCAACAAGACAGAGTCTGGCACCAAAGTTGCAGAACAGCAGCAGCTGCTTTACCGCTGCAAAGAATGCCCATACACTGCAGATGAAGCATCCATCTTAGAGCGTCATGAGAAGTGTCACGTAATTTGGCGTTGGCACAAAAGGATGCGTGAAATGTCACAAGCAGGCGAGCAAGCAGAAGCCACTGTTGCAAGTGGCTGTAATGATTCCAGCAACGTTGGTAATCCCGCTGATGTTACAAATAAGGAAATAAATACAGAAGATAGTGGAGGCAACATGGACAAGCCCCGTGAGATGTACACTTGTGACGAGTGCACATTTAAGACTGATTTTTCTGCACATTGGAACAGCACAAAACGTCCCATGGGGCATCAAAGCACACAAACAATAACAGTACCTTTGCTTCTGTCTTAGAGACAAGTGAGCTGCATCATGGAGTTCACGAAAAAGTACATGATGATCAGACAGGTAATGCAGATGTTGCTTTGGAAGATCTTGAAGCAGAGAAGGATGAAAATGAAACTGGCCACAACACTGACATCACTGTTGAAAAGGAAGATGAAGAGGAAGGAAGACAGACCAGTCTGATGTCCAGGATGATGGTGGATGAATACAAGTACATCTTCCATTGTGAAGATTGCCCTTTTAGAACTGATTGGCTTCATGACCTAGAGAAACACAAGAGTGGCCACAACAGTGAAGCAGAGTTCCCCTGTGACAAGTGCTCTTTTTCTGCCGCTACAAAGGGAGCAATTGAGGTACACCATCGAGTACACAGATACAAGAATGCCAATCGCGAAGCCAAACTATGTACAGAATGTGGTTTTTCAACACACAGCTACGAATCCCTGCAGCTTCACATGCAAACTCATGGTGGTGTCAGTCTACAAGCAGATGTTGGTGAGTCAGTAACATCTCCTTTGCCCTGCAGTGATGTACAGACACCAAGTACAAGCAGTTTGGAAGGCAGTAGTTTCCGTCGAAAGATGGAGGAGTATCTGTACATCTTCAACTGCGAGCAGTGTCCATTCAAGACAGACTGGTACCACGAACTGGAGAAACACAGAATGGGCCACAATGCTGACCTAGAGTACCCCTGTGATCATTGCACATTTTCGTCATCTACGAAGAAAGCAGTTGAGGTACATAAAAGGGTTCACAAAGACGGAAGTGCCTTAAAAATGGATAGATCAGCTGCCAGCAAATCAACTGCACGTATATCTGAAGAAGAAACAGATAAACAGGAGAGAAAACTCCTAAGGTTTCCACACATGACACCATCAGGCATGCGGTACTATAACCACAAGTGCCCTGAGTGTCCCTTTCGTACTGATAGTAAAAAGAAAGTGGGCGTCCACTTGTTGCACCATCGGACAAAAGCAAAGTACAACTGTGATATATGTACATACTCAACAAACTACCAATCAGCATTGGGAGTCCACAGAAGGATCCACCTACAAGGATATACTAACCCACATGCAGGGAACGTGACGCCCATCAAAGATACACCGCATGGTGATGTGAAGAATGAGAGCAAGAGACTGTCACCCCAGAAATGTCAAAAATGTACAAAGTGTCCCTACAAAACTGACAGCAGGAAAAAGATGGATGTCCATATGGTGTTCCACAGGAGGAGGGGGAAAGTACAAGTGTAACCTGTGTTCCTACTCCTCAGACAGGATGACAACACTTGGGCCGCACAGAAGAGTTCATCTGCAAAATCAAGAGGTCTCAGATAGTGCTGTTCAAAACATGTACAAGGTAGTGGGAGTTGTCCAACCACCTCTTGCAGCCTACAAAACTGATCCAAGATCAGACAGTGGACAAAAGTACTCGTGTAATGCTTGCCCTTCCAAGTTTAACAGTCTCCTGGGTGTCAGGGACCATGTTTCTCACCATCTCAAACAGTTTTTGTACTCCTGTCCAGAGTGCACCTACAGTGCTGACTCCAAAAGATCAATTAAAAGTCACAAAGGTGTCCATGAGAGACACCAAGAAAAGGAATGCAGGCATGACGCACAAACATCCAACGATCTCACAGCACAGTCTGCTGAGGAGGATGAAATGCAGGGGAAAAGTATGATTAAGAAACGCAAATATCAATGTGAGCACTGCCCTTACTCAACTGATAAACTTCACAGAAGTTCTGCACATGCAAGCAATCATGGAGCAAACCATCTAAACAAGTGTAGTCTTTGTTCTTACTCCACCAATGCCTCCATCAAGGTGCACATGAGGATCCATAAGAAGTATGCCATAGCTAAGACCAAGGGTCAAAAGGTGGATACTGCAGGGAGTATCCTCACTGTTGAGAAAGTAGGAGGTGCCAGAGACAGCTGGCAGTACAAGTGTAGCCAGTGCCCCTACCTAGCTAAAACAGCAAGTTACATCAGGTCGCATCAGCGCTACCACTGTGCTGATCTCCCGTTGAAATGCCCCGAGTGCACTTTCTCCTGCAGCCGTCTACAACAGCTGTCCTTCCACCTAGAGTGGCACGGCAAGTCTCAAGACAAGAAGGAAAGTGACCTTCAAGAAAAACAAAAGCAGACAAGGGGAAGGATAGGATCTCTACAACGCAAGATATATGAACAGGGATTCAAGAGGGTTTTGATCAATGGCCAGAGGCATTATATTTGTCCCCACTGCCCCTTCCGGTCCAGATGGACTGACCAGGCTGCTGCTCACCTGGAACACCACTTTGTTATGTACTCATACAAGTGCGCACACTGCTCATATTCCACAAGGACCAAAGACAAAGTCAAATTCCATATGAAGCTGCACAAAAAGGCAGCTCGTGATGGTAATAGCCATTCCACTGATGGCGAAAAGAGGACAGTACAAATGGAGAATGAGGATGCTAGCAATCCTAGTGAAGCAAGACTACCTAAAGGTCCGAGAACAAGAGCAAGGCTAGGGGTTATAGGCCAATCCCCAATCAAGCACACTGCTTCACAAGTCCCAGTACCTCCAGCAAGCAGCAGTGTGTCACGTAACCTGAATGATTTCAGCGGCCCAAATGGATCCGAGAGTACATTTATACGATACATGACGCCATCGTGCAGTAAGGAAGAGCCAGAGCAAGAACAGCAAGTGACGGTTCTGACATTTGTCTGCATGTACTGTGATCGTCCATTTACTGACCAAGAAAGTTGGCTGGCTCACATGAAAAGGCACAGGCTCTAGAGATGGGTGGCAGATACCAACTGCTCTGATGTGGTTAGGAATAGGACAGACGGTGACAAAGTTTTGCTCTCCAGTTTGACCACATAATTTATATTTAAATTAAATCAGTTGAATTTTCTTGGTTTATTGACCCAGGTTGGTTAAAGATTGTCCACTTAAATGGCACTGTCTTCATATAGCTGATGAATTGTAGTAATGTTGGTTCTAGGATGCTAAAATTAATTTGTTAATGCTCTGTACCTAATTAGTAATGTGATTGTAAAGGTTCTGTATATATATATGGGATTTGAAATAAGGATAATGTGCCTTGATTGTACTTATAGCAGTCTAGTAGTTGTAAGTCTGTTGAATATGCATCTTGTCATAGCATTGTAGAAAGTGTAGTTTTTGTGGTGAAATGCTTTATATACACAACTTTTATGGCAATTGTAACCTTAGAGTGTAAAGTTATTTGTGTGTTTTTTCATAGCTTGCTTGAAGCTGCACACTAATATTAGTGAACTTACAGGCTAACTAGAGTCAGCACGTCGGCAGAACGTACTGCGCCTGCGCAAACCCCACATTTTTCACGGTTTTCGTTGGATTTTTGGTCAACGTTCCATCAGGATTTTGCCTGTTGCAGAAGATATCTTTTCCGACATAACATTTGGAAACTACAGACGGAGTGTTGACCTTATATGCGCATATACAACCTTATATGAGCCATTCGGCCGAAGTGCTATGCACAATACATAACGGATTTTGCGCAGGTGTAGTACGTTCTGCCGACCTGCTACTAGAGCCTAATTATATTAGGTCACATGATAATCTTGATTTGATAGTGGACATCAGTAAGTGCAACTTAAATTTGACCCTTCCCCAAAAGGCACAAAACTGCAACTGTCCATTTGAATCATTACTCATGATGAAAAGTGCTGTGGTTTCGATTCATGTATAATGTACCTTGTTGCAGATATGAAATTAACTATAAGCAAAATTGAATTGAAAGGAGATAACTACTCCAACATTTCAAATGTTGAGCCAGCAAGGTGGGGCTATGACGTCACAGGAAAGATATCACCTGTAAGCCCCTAAACTGGCGTCATACAGCCAGGAAAATTCTGCGAGCTCAAAGGGATATTTTTGGCAACAACATTAATATGTCCGGTGTCCTCTCAATCACTGTGCAATTTACAGCTTTCGATTTCGAGACAAAAAATTTGCCTGACTCTGATGATTTGGAATTAAATTTGCAGACCCAGGCCTCTGGCAGTCAACACATTCAGTGAAGTTTCTTACCTACTCGGCACTCTCATATTCACAGATTTGTGCGAGCCTGCACAGAAGTGTCATATTTTGATTAATACCTTTTGTATACCCCAAGTTTATTTCGTTAATTCCAAGTGTAGACATTTGTTATTATTCTAGCTGCAGCAAGATTTACATGACAACATGGATTGTTATGAGCAATATTCATTTTTGTTGTAGGTTTGTTTTAAGCGTTTATTGTGGCTAATATATCAGTAATAGGAAAGATATGGCCTAGGCCTGCTGTTATGTGTAACTATTTGGGCATGTGTATGTGATTGATAATGCATTCCACTAGGAGCTGCCAGTTTGTTGTCTCTCTTCATTACATTACTTACACGTGTAGTGCATCTTAGATGTTGAGTTATTCTGGTGATGGATGAATTAATGAAATGATAAATATATGTATTTAGCCAGGTCCTCAACCTTATTTGTTGTATTTTATTTTTGGCTTTGATTAGGCCATGTTGATTGGATTATACGAATGACATCTGCGCACGCATGAATTTTCGGACGTTTCAAAAAAATTTTGTTACCATACTGTAAATCATACAAAACAGTTGCAAAATGAGCAAATATATACCGTAAGTTGCAAAAAAATATTTCAAAACGATACCAATGTCGTAGAGTGCCAAAATCAAACGAAAAAGATAAAAATGTAAAAAAATGAATTTGAAGAGTAGATTATTCACCATACTGTACTCTGTGTCATTTGTTCAATCTTCATTTCATATTGGAAGCAACATTTTTTTTTTTGCAAAACTTTTTTTTTATTCGCATGCTCGCATCAGTTTTGTGGTTCCCAGAGGATGTCATTCATATAATCAAATGAACATGGCATATACCAACATCTGACTACAGCTCTTCTCCCATGATATTCCTAAGGGGAGCCCAGTCTTGTTATAGGCAGTTGAGGGCAGGGAAATTTAGAAAGTACCTGTACAAGACTTATGACAACGGACAGTCTTTTTGGCGACCTCTCAGGGGCGGAGGCATTTATCAGAGTAGTACGATTGCTTTGAAAGAATTTTAAAGATTTCACTAATGCATTCCTTTGGGAATGATTGGTTTCAGCATTCTGGCAAAACAGGACAGGCCTTTAATTTGTTGTTTTGAATATGAACTAGCGAGTATTACCCGGTATATGCTGGCCTGACAGCATGTTTAATCATTATTTTTCCAAGCTCTAGTCAATATTCAAACAAGGTTATCAAACAGATGAGAAGGGTAGCATTGATTCACATTCACACAAGTTTCTTAATATCAAATTTTAATCTCGAGATTTCATGTCTTCCTTGCAGCTGTATGCATCACATCATAGCTAGGATGTCTCTCCTGTATGTTCTGCTGCTTTTTGGTCCTTGTGTTGTTCTCCTCAGACCTTGACGACAGCCTTGCCGGTGTTCTCTCCCACAAGCATGCCGATGAAAGCTTTGGGCATGTTATCAAAACCTTCGGTCACGTGTTCCCTGTGCTTGATCTTTCCCTGTGGTGTAACAAAGGGTGTGGGGTTTGTGAAACAAAGCAAAGCCACTTGTTTCAGACAGTTACCATTGTTTCGCAAACTACCAGTTATCTGTTCGTGCACATCAATATTACAAAGACCAGAGATCGATAATTGGGAAGCAATGTTAAAGCAGCAGACACTTGATACATACAGGCACAGCTGAGTCTGACCAAGTTGGTCTGACATACAAATGTACCTCTATACAGTGCATTGACTTCCATATTCACATCTATTAGTTGGCCTCATAATTTACAGGTTTGCTTTTAGTTCTGTTGAAAAACTACAATTTGAATGTACTAAACAGAAAATCTGTTGACTCATGAGTCACCTACCTCTTTGATCCACTGCACCATTTGAGCCATTCCCTGTGGCCATTCCGGAAACCAGCGCAGGACGATGAACCCAGTGACGGTTAACTGCTTGGACAGGATCGTCACGAATGGGTAGGGACCTGGAAATTAAATGTACAACAGACAGTAAGCTTTGTAAACACACTTTCAGGTACTAGTATATCGTCTATAGTAACAGTAGGGTCTGGACAGGAAGGTCGATAGCTGGCTGATTACGCAGAGGGATACATGTAAGCCTAAGGACAGAGGGACGGAGGAGGTTGGTGCTGGACGCTACCATAGTCCCCGACCCTCCAGACAAGGAGGGAACCAGGTGAAGGTGAAGTGACGTCAAGTGAACGGAATCTACACAGGGATAGCTGTGAGGATAATTGCACATTCATACACAGAATGTTAACAGGTCATGTACAATGTATAACGTTACATACACATGATCAGGCCATCGCTAGCAATTGCTTCTTTGTATTAAATGGTGAAAAAGTAAGAACAGACATATAGGACCAAAGGTAATGATGTAGTCCGCACATACCCTTGGCCGGGTCCTTGTCGTTGTAAGTTGAGATGCTGCCACAGATGGCCACACGTCCAAACAGGTTCATGTGGTTCAGCACGGTGCTGGTGAAGTCTGCTCCCACCTGCAGAAATGGGGACGAGTGAAGATATCGCTGCAACTGTTGGTAATCAACCGTGTATCATTCGGCTCTACAAAACAGTCATGACTTCCTTGCTGTTTAGACACATAACTATTAGACACATAACTATACATATTTAGAGGATGGAGCTCCCTGGAGCTCAGCTATATTACCTATCGGTCTGTATAATGTGAGCTGATAATGCACCACACGGCCTTTATTAAACTAACGAACCTTCAACTGTCGACATCTAATACTTTTTTCGCCGCAGTAACGCCATGTATGACTTTTAAAAGCCTACTTCATTCAGACTTACATTGTCAAAGTAACAGTCGATCCCATTGGGCGCTGCCTCCTTCAGAGCTGCGTCCAATGAAGACACAGTTTTGTAGTTGAAGGCGGCGTCAAAGCCAATTTCCTTCAGCCAGGCCACCTTGGCGTCACTCCCGGCTGCACCGACTGCCTTGCAGCCCTAGGCAAAATCAAAATGACAAACTTACTTTTAATCTTTTGTTAGATTTCTTTACGGTTGACAATTTTCTTTCATCCGTCATTTAGCCAGACGTTTCGTCAGTCCTTATATTCTTCTGCAATTATAAACTCATTACCCTGGCAACACTTTGTAGACACGTTACCTTGATCTTAGCTATCTGTCCTACAAGACTCCCGACAGCGCCCGCGGCGCCGTTGACGAAGACCGTCTCTCCCTCCTTGGGATCACACAACTTCAGCAAACCAAAGTAGGCAGTCATGCTGAAAGAACAACAAAGCATAATATTTTTTAATTTTTTGTAGGTACTTAGATTATCAGTATCATAATGACACTAATAAATTAATGCATTTGCAAACCTATCTCCCCATCCCGCCAAATACTACTAAGCTATTGGATACGTGGATACTTTGTTACCAAAACAGTGTCTATCTAGTTCTTTGCCTGAATGAGCGAAAGTTTATGTAAAGCGGCATGGTTTTGGATAGTCTACTTAGTGTATCCCTGAGGCTTGGTCCTGGATACGCGTGGACTCTAGAGAACCGTGCCTGAGCATCTATAGAGGTTCATAGAGAACCGTGCCTGAGCATGGTTTTGGATAAAGCACATTTCTGGATACATCAGTACTCTTACCCAGGCATCCCGACGGCTCCTAACAGCAGAGACAGCGGCAGGTCCTTCGGGTAGTCTGCCGGAGCCTTCCGGATGGGACTCTGGGGGTCCTGCTCCTTGGCGTTCAGCACGGCGTGAGTGCACCAGCCGTAACGGCCCATAACGACTGTACCCACGGGGAAGTCTGAATATTTGGATTCGATCACTCTGGTAACGGGAGAGAAGTGTGAAGTAAGCCCGACAAGATATTTCTTTGCGGTGAGTCTTCTATCATTCCACAACATTCAAGGACATTATGTTATATACATCTAATGTCCTTGATTCAAATAAATGTTACCTTTCACCTATTGTTTCCTCTCCCTGGCTTTCTGTTTATGTACTATCATCAGAAACTCGGCTCAGGTGAGTCCCATCCGATTATCATATTGTACTGATGATAAAAGATATATAGTGTGCTACTTAACCATAACTTGAGCATCAAGCTCGCCACACAAGTAAATTGGAACTGAGTAAATTACTGTTTGTTTGGTTAAAGTGAATTGTGCTGGGAAATGAATGGAGCTTTGATGCCATATATATGGAGTACGAAACATTTGTTCTACTTACCGACCACATCCTTCCCCGATCATGGTTATACCCGTTGGCAGCCGTCTTGTATAAGGCCTAAACATTAAAACGATAAACAAAAAAATAGCAAGGAACTTGTATTAATATATTCTGTTTGGGTTCTTATGGTTCTATATTTGAAAGTTTTCTTATCTCCAAGCAGATGTAGGATTCCAGTCTGCTAATTTTAGAAAATCGAAGCTTAAGCTTTGTCTGAAAGTCGGGGTTATCTGAAGGTGAGAGCAACTGTCCGAAATTCCACATGTACAGAACGTCCAAATGTTCTCAAACACGTCAGACATTTACACCTGCTTGGAGGTTTTGAAAAGACGACTCTTCTTATTCTATTGTTAAATATCGACGTACGGATGTGTGTTGCAATAGTAATCAATTGAATAGAATAGCCAAATGATTTTCTCTCATTTGTTTTATCATCAATAGTTTATAGAATGTCTAATGTACCTACCGCATGTACGGGTCGACGCTATTGAAGAGTGACTCAACCAGGATTTCTGGTAAAAAAATAGAAATGCAACATTTGGTACTGTGTTAACCCTTACGTGATCTAGCCTAACAAATTGCGTTACCGTGGTTATTCTTACTCAAACACATTCACATACTAGTACATGACAGGGCTCGAAATATACATAGTCCCAGTGTTAAATGACACTAACTTTTCAGCTCGGGACAATTCAAATTACGTTTCGGGACAATTTCAGGGCAAAAATTTTGAGACCGTCCACGTCATTTAGGAATCCATCCTGCTGCGGGCCGCCAGCAGCCCATGATTCTCTGACAAAACATGATACTATCATGTACTTCCCTATAGTCTAGGGGAAATGATGGACATTTACTAATAAAGTTGTACAAATTCAGTTGTTGTTGTTTTCCTATTGTTGTCATAAACGTATTTCCTAAGCAGGCTGGGACAGTCTATCCTCAGTTTGGAGAATAGAAATCTATATTTGGGACAATTCTAGGACAATAGTATAGTAAAAAAAGTTACTAGTAATTTCGAGGCTTGCATGATATGTACATGTAATGTTATATGGTGACCTGTCCTGCTACATAATGTATCCCAACACCACAGGTTGTCTGTCTACTACAGCACCAGTTACCATGGTAACAGACGTCATTATAGGCTTCGAGAAGGTCCTTATATTGTTGGAGAAGAAATAGAGCAAAAATTGATATGTATGCCCCTACCCCAGTGACTCATCAATTTCTGTAGCAATAAGTGAGCCTGAGTGTAAAGGGAACTCATGCATCGCCATCATGATTTTATTTGCTGGTTTATAATTATCAATAACGGTAATCCACTGCAGAGTTGTGCCTTCAGTAGTTGTGTAAGACCAAGTTAACTGTTGGCATGCAGAAATACCAGGAATGCAGCTGCATACCCACCCATACCTTGGCAATTATTGGCAACTGTCACCTGTCACCGACCCATAGCACACCAAAGTATCTCAGTGGGCAAGGCTCTTTGTGTCTATGGGTCTGGCGCCCAGGCTACTGTTACTGTCACCACTTGTAGACACCTGTTAGGCCCTAGGTAAGGTCCTGTGAGCGTTTATAACACAGAATTCACGACCGGAGCCGGGGGAGGGAGTCGGGGGGTTCGGACGAACACGTTCGAAGGTCCGTTTTTTAATGTCCCCTAGGAAGCTCGCGCCCGCTCGCTGGTCCCTTTCAGTTCAGAACGAACCCCCTCCATGCAAAATCCTGGCTACGGGTATGGAAAAGCTGGCCGTGAGCACGACCAGTGACCCTTGGTCATGACAAAGCGTTTTCTCGGTATGTTACCTTTGTGTGACCTCTTGGGTATAATAAAGTGACACAGCAATTTTGTACCCCAAACAGCAAAGCACAAACGCAACGAACGATGGAAAGTATGTCAAGAACACCATGTTTAGTTAACAGCTGTAACAGTTAGATAGCCTCTGAAGTCAATGCTGTAAAAAAAATCAGAATTTGCCCGCCGTGAAGGCATTATGTCCAGTAGCACACCGGGAGTGAGTGTGGGGCGTGACTGCTGTGACCAAGTTACATAATAAAAATTTAACGTTACAAAGGTTGAGTTGATAAATTTCTTTCCAAAACAAAGGAGGTTCAAACTATCTAAGTCTAAGCGTCTAAGATAAACGTCTAAGCTATCTGAAGAGACTGACGGGCAGTAGTGTCTTATAATTTAGCCAGATTGCCACCCTCCCCACTCAGCCAGTACCCCTCGTCTTACCGCCATCCTTCAGTTCTGGCGTCTCCTCTTCAACCAGTTCAAAGTCTGACTCCTTCGGCGGCCCGTCAAACTGGCGCGCGAACACAAACCTTTTGGACTTCACCATCTTCGCTCTCAATATCCGTGACAGATTTCAAGCTAGTGAGTTTACTAGAGACGTGCTACTAGGCTGGGTGCCTGTCTTCCGATTGACCCTGTTATACGTCACTTAAGGTACACCTGATTTACAGTCGGGGTACTAGTAATAAGTAAACCATGCAAACAAAGGTCATGTCCAATGCTTGAAATCTCAAGAGCTATCTTGCATAATTAATGCGGAATAGTACAGTAGTAAATTATGGGACTTCCATACTTGTGACATTTGGAAATTATGTAAAACATCATTAGACATAAATCATGCGAATCAGGGTCAGGGTCTCATTTAGAGTAGAGTAGGAGCTTTTAAGGCCCAGGAAAATTAATGTTGTGTTTCCGGGTTCAGTCTTGAAAAAACCTGGGGCGGTGACTCGGTCGGTAGGTAGGGATTTTCTTCATTCTAAAGTTTTTTTCTTAGATTTCGGCCAAATGATCTATACAAAGTAGCTACGGTAAAAAATAAATACACGTGCATCATCAAGGGCGTGCCTGGAGACGACGTATAAAATTACATGCCGATTAAACAAAGGGAAGTCAGGGAACCCAGTAATCTGGCTGCCAACACCAAAAACCGCCTCCACCACTACGGAGGCTAGAGTACTTCTAGCCTCCGTAGCAGGCCCAGGTCTAAAAACGGGGGTAAGTCAACCAGGCCGGCTATGTTGTCTATATGCAATCAGAAAATAGCACATAAAAGCTCCCAAAGACCCTGAAGACCCCCAAACCCCAAGTTTTTGGCTATGGAGGCTAGACAAAAGCCTTCTTCGCTAATACATGTATGAGACATTCATACTTCGGACAACTTGTGTTATCTGGTTAGAGAAGATCATCAACTCATATGCAAACAAGGGGTCGATGACTTCATACCTTCGTCATGTATGACTGTTTGTGGGTTGTCAGAGATGTGCTGCTGTATATAGTTTGACTTTTTTTGCTGGTATGTGAACCAAGCGATGTGTGTGATACATAGCCTCCATAGCAAGCCAAAAAACTGGGTTTATCAACAAACAACCGAAGACCACCAAACCCCCAGTTCTATAAGCCTGCTACGGAGGCTATGTGATACATAAGTCAGAGTACAGAAACACACGTTACACGAGTACGGAAATTTTCCGACATAGTCACGATGGTTGACGTCACTACTGGGTGTATCTTTTTAAGTTTAGAGTGCTGTGGAGTTTTCATGCCAAGTTGGTTGTTTCATTGACTTGCATGCTGCAGGAAAGAGTCTCAGTCCTTAGGACAGGACGTTAAGTTCCAAGACATATGTTCCAAGACAGAAGAACCACCTTACAAACAACTGTTGCCTGCGAACATCTGTTACTTCCAATATCTCAAATCTACATTCGAAGCTGGCTAAATGTCAAACCTAAAAGTGCCATTGCAGTACCTTAGAAAGCCACTAGAATGCCCAAATTCAAACTTAACCTTCTTTTTCCACACTTCAAGCTACCTATAAAAAATTAACAAAACTTAACCATCAAAAGTTAGCCCGTCTAGTCACATTTCGTCATAAAAATAACCACAGCATCTAAAAAGCAGCTATTTCGCTGAAAACCACACCAGATACTTACTGCCCAAGCATCTATGTCCCACTCATGATCAGAAAGCAAGGCCATAGCATGTCCTCAGCACGAATTATCATACCATGTACCCCGCTGCAGTACCTTACAAAACCACTAGAGTACCAAAAATTGACCTTGGCCTTCCTTTTCCCAACCTCATCCTACCCACCAAATATCCTAAAGATACATACGCTACACCCCAGTTATAACCGATTACGAAATCATCAACCCCTATGGTGTACCTAAACACATAACCTTCTGACGAAGGTAGTGAGGACCTTATTTGTAGATGAGGAAATTTTTAGAATGGACCTCACCTGTCAATGTTTACATCATTTTTACATCAAACAGATGAGAAGCGTAGCATTGATTCACATTCACACAAGTTTCATATCAAATTTTAATCTCAAGATTTCATGTCTTTCTTGCAGCTGTATTCATCAAGTCATAGCTAGGATGTCTCTCCTGTATGTTCTGCTGATTTTTGGTCCTTGTGTTGTTCTCCTCAGACCTTGACGACAGCCTTGCCGGTGTTCTCTCCCACAAGCATGCCCATGAAAGCTTTGGGCATGTTTTCAAAACCTTCGGTCACGTGTTCCCTGTGCTTGATCTTTCCCTGTGGTATAACAAAGAGTGCGGTGTTAGTCACGGTAGCAAAGAAAGTGGTTTACTTGTTTCAGACAGTTAGCATATGTATTAAGTACCATCGTTTCACAAAACTAATCTGTGCGCATCCATATTACAAAGACCAGAGATCGATAATTGGGAAGCAATGTTAAAGCAGCAGACACTCGATACATACATGTACAGCTGAGTCTGACATACCTTTGTACACTGCATTGACTCTATATTCACATCTATTAGTTGGCCTCATAATCTAATTTGCTTGTAGTTCTGTCGGGCTTCTTTTCAAAGTATGAAATACTACAATTTGAATGTACTAATCAGCAAATCTGTTGACGTCATGAGTCACCTACCTCTTTGATCCACTGCACCATTTGAGCCATTCCCTGTGGCCATTCCGGAAACCAGCGCAGGACGATGAACCCAGTGACGGTTAACTGCTTGGACAGGATCGTCACGAATGGGTAGGGACCTGGAAATGGAATATACAACAAACAGCTTTGTAAACACACTTTCAGGTATATCGTGCTATAGCTAGTGACAGCAGGGACTGGACAGGAAGTTCCCTGGCTGCCTGTACGCAGGGGGCTAAGCCTAAGGACAGAGAAGGACGGAGGAGGCTGGTGCTGGACACTACCATAGTCCCCGACCCTCCACACAAGGATGGGGCCAGGTGAAGATGAATTAACCTTAAGTGAACGCAGTCCACACAGGTTAGCTATGAGAATAATTGCACATTCATGCCCACAGGGTTGAGTACAGGTCATGTAATGATGTACATACACTAGCACTAAAAATAGTCTTCTCGATTCTCTGTGATTGTGAAAAGGTAAGAACAGACATGTTTTAGTATCAAAGGTGATAATGTAGAACTGTCTTTAACAAGTCCGCACATACCCCTGCCGGCCGGGTCCTTGTCGTTGTAAGTTGAGATGCTGCCACAGATGGCCACACGTCCGAACTGGTTCATGTGGTTCAGCACGGTGCTGGTGAAGTCTGCTCCCACCTGCAGAAATTGGGACCGTGAATGGAAGTGAAGATATCTGTTGGTAATCAACCATGTATCATTCTGCTCTACAAAACAGGCATGTCTTCTATTAGACACATAAGTATACATATTAGAGGAGGGAGCTACCTGGGGCTCAGCTATATTACCTATCGGTCTGCATAATGCACCACAGCCTTTTTTGTCAAACCATGCAACAAACCTTCGACATCTACAAGTAGTACATTTTTGGTAACATGATATGCCATGTATGACGTCTAAAAACCTACTTCATTGAGACTTACATTGTCAAAGTAACAGTCGATCCCATTGGGCGCTGCCTCCTTCAGAGCTGCGTCCAATGAAGACACAGTTTTGTAGTTGAAGGCGGCGTCAAAGCCAATTTCCTTCAGCCAGGCCACCTTGGCGTCACTCCCGGCTGCACCGACTGCCTTGCAGCCCTAGGCAAAATCAAAATGACAAACTTACTTTTAATCTTTTGTTAGATTTCTTTACGGTTGACAATTTTCTTTCATCCGTCATTTAGCCAGACGTTTCGCCAGTCCTTATATTCTTCTGCAATTATAAACTCATTACCCTGGCAACACTTTGTAGACACGTTACCTTGATCTTAGCTATCTGTCCTACAAGATTCCCGACAGCACCCGCGGCGCCGTTGACGAAGACCGTCTCTCCCTCCTTGGGATCACACAACTTCAGCAAACCAAAGTAGGCAGTCATGCTGAAAGAACAACAACAAAGCATTATGTTTTTTGATTATCATTATCTGACTTAATGACACTAATAAATGCATCTACGGACCTGTCTCCCATATCCCACCAAATACTACTAAGCTATTGGATACTTGAATACTTTATTACCAGAATAGTGTCTATCTAGTTCTATGCCTGAATGAGAATGGGCGAGAGTTTCTATGATCAGTGTGCCATGGTTTTCGATAGCCTCCTGTGCAGGCCCCGCGGCGGTGGGGAAGAGTTTTTAACGCATGATTTTAATAGGATGGCCGGCTAATTTTAGTAGGATGGCCGGCTATATTAAAATAATACGTTAAAAACTCTTCCCCACCGCCACGGGGCCTGCACAGGAGGCTAGGTTTTGGATAGTGTATCTCAGGCACGGTCCTGGATTCGCGTGGACTCGTGGACTATAGAGAACCGTGCCCGAGCATCTATAGAGAACGGTGGTTAACCCTACCCTGAGCATGGTTCTGGATAAAGCACGTTTCTGGATACAGCAGTTCTCTTACCCAGGCATCCCGACGGCTCCTAACAGCAGAGACAGCGGCAGGTCCTTCGGGTAGTCTGCCGGAGCCTTCCGGATGGGACTCTGGGGATCCTGCTCCTTGGCGTTCAGCACGGCGTGAGTGCACCAGCCGTAACGGTGCATAACGACTGTACCCACGGGGAAGTCTGAATATTTGGATTCAATCACTCTGGTAACGGGAGAGAAGTGTGAAGTAAGCCCGACATTGTAAATATAGAATACAACACGGTGTATTCCGTATCGCCCGAGGTACCAGCCCGACCGCGCGTCGGATCGCCCGACGGCCGAAGGCCGGAGGGAGATCCGATCCGCGGGAGGGCTGGGACCGAGGGTGATGCGGAATACACCGTGTTGTATTTTATTTATGTCATACCCACCCAAGAAAACACGCCTTTTAATGCGAAATGGGCGAACATTTGGTGTCCCTAAACCCAAAACAAATGCACCAACATCACATTCCAACGTCCGAATTTTGTGTTCGAATTTTCGAAAGCGGTTAGTGTTAAACGCGTTCGAATCGTTCTATAGAACATTTGGAAGGGCCGGGCCGTACGCGTTAAGAACCCCCGGGCTGTACCGCTAGTTATCACACGGGCCGGAACTCCCGTATCGAACGCAATCGCGGCCCAGGTAGGACATAAATGCCATTATACAATGTCAAAATAGATTTTGTTCCGATATCTAAGATGTTCTTTGCGATGAGTCTTCTATCATTCCACAACATTCAAACAAATGTTACCTCTCACCTATTGTTAAGTTCTCTCCCGGGATTTCTTTCCAAATTCAGCTTGAGTCACATCCGATTATCGTATTGTACTGATGATAAAAGATATACATGTATAGCCTACTACTGTAACAAGGGAGACTTCTACCTCTATGGTTAGAATAAATTGTGCTGGGAAATGAATGCTTTGATGCCATATATACGGCGTACGAAACATTTGTTCTACTTACCGACCACATCCTTCCCCGATCATGGTTATACCCGTTGACAGCGATCTTGTATAAAGCCTGGACATTAAAACGATTAAGAAGGAAATAGCAAGGAACCGGTATTAATATCTTTGGGTTCCTCAGGTGCAATTATGATTCTATAACCTTTTGTGCAAATAGAAACATCTGAAACATGCACACTATTTCTAAGCTTCAGACCTATGACACGTGACAGAATCAATGATAAGATCTCATTTGGCTTGAAGAAATTTCAGTTTACTTATCTCCAAGCAGAGGTAAGATTCCGGTTTGCTAATTTTAGAGAATCGAAGCTTTGTCTGAAAGTCGGAGTTATCTGAAGGTGAAGGCAACTGTCCGAAATTCCACATGTACAGAAAGTCCAAATGTCGGTCCTTTACACCTGCGTGGAGGTTTTCAAAAGACGACTCTACTTATTTGTACCTACCGCATGTACGGGTCGACGCTATTGAAGAGTGACTCAACCAGGATTTCTGGTAAAAAAAATAGAAATGCAACATTTGGTACTGTGTCAACCTTAACATGATATAGCCTAACAAACTGCTACTGTGGTTATTCTTACTCAAACACATTCACATACTAGTACATGATACAAATGTATGTACATGTACATGTAACGTTTTTTATAGGCTTAAGAAGGTCCTCATATTGGCGGAGAAGAAGAAATAGAGCAAAATATGTTTTTCTTCTGAGAAGATAAACATATCGATTGTTCTTTGTAGGAGGATTTATCTGTGGGAAAGTACAGTAATCATAAGGGTGATAGCATCGCTGGTGGCAAATATGATCATTACAAGGCAACAGAAGTAGTTCGTTATCATATTCAACAATGGTTGACACGATCGTTAGTTATTGAAGTGTGGATGAGGGCGGGGCAGGGGCGGGGTGGAGGAGTCATTTGGTACTATGGAGTGCATGAAACTGGCTGTATCTTTTTGTTTGTTCTGTTAGAACACTAGGTTTGACGCCCTCCCTAGTCCGAGTCAATCTCCTCGCTTCACTCCGCCAGGATTGAGGTGTTTTTATAGTTATCCTAGAACTATCATGGAGTTGAACTCAGTGGCACCAAGTACAGCGGGGGCTTACTCATGACTTAAGCTGCAATTTAACTTAAATGTGCATAAGTCTGACCAGCTGCCGTCGCTCCACGTGCCACCGCATACCGTGATACAGATTAATTACCAGAAGCCTGTGGCTCCCACATGGCCGAAGGTATCTACTCTACTCTACTCTACTCTACTCTACTCTACTCTACTCTACTCTACTCTACCCTACCCTACCCTTACTCTACTCTACTCTACTCTACTCTACTCTACCCTACCCTACCCTTACTCTACTCTACTCTACTCTACTCTACTCTACTCTACTCTACTCTACTCTACCCTACCCTACCCTTACTCTACTCTAGCTACTCTACACGTTGCCTAGTAACTACTACCATGACTCGGAGGACTGACGTTGCCTAGTAACTAATACCGTGACTCGGAGGCCTGACTCGGGATGTTTGGCGTACATGTTGCATGTATCTTCCTACCCCAGCGGCTCCTGTCAATTTCTGTAGCAATTATTAGCCTGTGTGTAAAGGGAACTGTTACAGTCGCCGTCATTATTTTATTTGCAGGTTTAGAATTACATGTATCAGTAATTCACTGCAGAGTTGTCCTTCAGTAGTTATTTACATGCAGAAATATCAGGGATGCAGCTCCGAACCAGTTGCCCCACCCCGTTCCCCGCCCATACGCAACGGCAGATGATTATTGGCAACCCCGTGACCTGTTGTAGAGACCTGTATGTAAACTTTAGGGCCGAAGGTTATGTGGTACTGTGAGCTCAGGCGACGTTTATAAATAGTCCCACAGAATTACAGCTGGCCAGGGCACGGTCAGCACGCCCTGTGAGATCCTGTGACCCTTGGTCATGACAAAGCGTTTTCTCGGCATGTTACCTTTGTGTGACCTCTTGGGTAATATATGGCTCGTGACAAAGCAATTTTGTACCCCGACTGTAAGAAGGCAAAGCACAAACGCCATGAACGAAGGGAAATATGTCAAGAACTCCAATATTGTTAAACAGCTGTAAACAAATCAGAATTTGCCCGCCATCACCGGACAGAAGACATTATGCCAAGTAGCACACAGCAGGGAATGTGGAGCGTGACTGCTGTGACCTAGTTACATAATACACATTTACTAATTTTAGTTTATCAAATTCTTTCCTCAACAAAGGAGGTTCAAGCAGCCACGTCTTAGTTATCTTGTATGAGATTGACGGGCAGCAGTTGCGGGTATTGCATTATAATATATATAGTACATGCACCCCTCCTCCGTTGTCCCCTCCCCACCCAGCCAGTACCCCTAGTCTTACCGCCATCCTTCAGTTCTGGCGTCTCCTCTTCAACCAGCTCAAAGTCTGACTCCTTCGGCGGCCCGTCAAACTGGCGCGCGAACACAAACCTTTTGGACTTCACCATCTTCGCTCTCAATATCCGTGACTGATTTCAAGCTAGTGAGTTTACTAGAGACGTACTACTAGTACTAGGCTGGGTGCATGTCTTCCGATTGACCCTGTTATACGTCACTTAAGGTCTGCTTAAGGTACACCTGATTTACAGACGGGGTGCTAGTAATAAGTAAACCAGTTAACGTGGTATGCAAACAAAGTTCCCTGTCGAATGCTTGAAATCCAAATCTTGTGCTAATTTGCATAATTAATGCGAAAATAGTATATTCTTATAGTTGTAAATTGTGAGAACTACACACTTGTGACGTTTAGAAGTTATGTAAATCACCATTAGACAATTCGTGCTAATCAGGGTCTCATTCGCTTAAGGCCCAGGAAAATCAATGTTGTGTTTCTGATTTCAGTCCTGAAAAAAATATTTAGCTAGATTAATGCATACTCATGGCGGATGATGCCGTTGCTCATAGAGATGTTTCATGTGTAATTAACAAGAAGGTGGCGGTTTCTCTATCAGATTTCACGGAGTCTACATCGTCTTCCAACTCGTCAGCACCCTCTTCTGTCTTCCTTTTCGTGAAGCGCAGGATGAAGGGTAGAAGTCCGGCTAGCAGGAAACAAACACCTGCTTGTAGGAACGCGACTTCATAACTGCCTGTTCGGTCATACAGCCAACCTGTGAAAGTAATATTGGGTCAAAATCGGTGAAATAGCCAGAGAAAAATTCAAAGGTCGAAAGTTGTGACCCTCCCCACCTACACGCACACACACAAACGTGATGTCCCACGGAGGGACTTGTTCAGTTACATATGTCATATGACATCAATTTTGTGAAGAGTGATTCTCTCCAAGCGCTAACACTGCGTACTGGTTTAATAGGCCTGTTTTGGTCTTTGAAAAATTTTTAGGCGTTTTGCTGGGATTGTATATTCTTTCGCCTTTTTTTTTGGTACCCTGACTTCCCTTGGAAAGGCTTTAAACGTCCAAAACATGCCCGTGCTTGGATAGTAAAAGAATGGACCAAACCACACGTTGCATAGCATTATATTTACCGGCGAAGGGCGGTCCGGTCAAGGAGGCGAAACCTTGCACCAGCATGTAGAGACCGAGGGCGCCAGGAAGACGTTTGGGGCCGACCAGTTCAGCCAGGCAGGTGAAGGAAGTGGGAACGAAAGCGCCGTAGAACAGTCCGTGTGCTATGGCGTACACTATCAGCCCTGGGTACGTTATGGCCAGCGGGCAGAGAAGATTGGTGAGTCCCAACAAGCACAGGCTGAGTCCAAACTGGTCCAGTCGGGTGAAGTGTGGTGTATCTGGAATGGCTCCCACCGACAGCCGACCTACCACGTCAGCGATAGAGCTCGCAGTGAGCAGAGACGCTGCCCTGTAGTCCTCAATCTGGAGATCTCTCGCACGGGGAACGATGTACATGGGTGGGACGATGAGGCTAAAGGCCAACAGAAACAACGACGTTAAGTAAAAAGCCACAGATCGAATCTTCACCAGTTTAAAATCCATGTCAGTCCATAGTTTTTTGAAAAACCTGACTACAGCAGCAGATTTGGTCTCCGTGGCGGTGTTTGATCCCAGCAGATTGTCACTGGTGTCGTTTGGAGACATCTCCAAGCCCGAGTCGCTTTCATTTCTGTGACGTTTCAACGGTCTGACCAACGCGCCAGCGACAACCTCCTGCAACATGACTCCTCCCAGAATGAGTAAGGCACCTTTCAGACCATACTCGTCCAGCAGGTACTGAAACAGCAGCGGGAGCGTCATGGACATGATGCTGGCCCCCAGCACCGCCAGGCTGTTGGCCACGGCACGGCGTGTGGAGAAATACTGCCCAACTGTCACCATCATAGGACTGACCGTGAGAGCGCATCCCAGACCTGGATAGATGGAAGAAACAGGTTTTGCTAATGTTTATCCATACAGCATCACATAAAACAGAAAAAGTGTTATATATGCTGGATGCTGCTATAGAGATGACCACACTAGACCACGGCTTGGGCCAGACTCATCCCAGGGACACTGGGTCCCTGTCCTTTATTGGTCTTATCCGGGAGTTACATAATCGACACCAGATGTGTCACCACTTCCTACCCCCTACACTGGCCCCCCTTCACAAAAGGTGTCGTCCTCGACACCATGCTGAGGGGCAGAAAAACAAAAACAACTAACAGCAAACTACATCTTACAAATGCTACAGTGGTTTGATGTAGTTTGCTGTTCGTTGTTTTTAGTTGTTTTTGTTTTTCCGCCCCTCAGTATATATGTGTCGAGGACGACACATTTTGTGAAGGGGGGCCAGTGTAGGGGGTAGGACTTGTGTCACATCTGGTGTCAATTAATAAAGGACAGCTAGGGACCTTGTGTCTCTGCTGATCAGTCTGGCCCAAGCCGTGGTCTAGTGTGGTCATCTCTATAGCAGCATCCAGCATATATAACAAAAGTATCACATCGACTCGTTAACGTTATCAGGGCAGGAAAGAGGTATATCAGTCTTGATTTGTATCTAAACTGTAGACAAAGACATGAACGGGAACTCTAGCATCATTCGATTCATATCATAACCGTACCTGTCAGACACCCTATGGCCAGGTACAGGTGGTACACTCGAGTTCCAAATGCGCTGATGACGTAGCCTGTCGCACTAAGCACCCCGCCGAGCATGATGACAGGACGGAACCCTGTTGTACTGGCCAGGGCTGTGGCGAACGGCGCTAAAGGGTGGGAAATAATACAAGGGCTCCATAACTGTAACAAGTGTTCGCGTGCACTGGTTTGTACGAATACTAAGAACATTTGGCAAATTTAATGTACTGTGTGCTTTTGTTTACATACTAGTATAGTATAAAAGTTACTCCTGCAGCAAATCGTTTGCACTATCCGCAATATATCATACTGTCTGTTTGGGGTGCCGCTGACTTTGATACTGTGCTTAAATTACCAATGCAATATGTATAACATTGTCCCTTCATGATCATCCCGGAGAAAACCTTAGACTTACCAAAGAGGTTTAAAAAAACGACCTTGGACTTACCTAATAGGTACATGACGCACATCATGATAGAGGTTACCCACGCCGTCTCCGCGGAGCTGGCATCAAACTGCTGACGGAAAGCAAGAAACAACACCCCGAGAGACCGGAAGGTTCCCGCCGCACAGCCGTTCACTATGAACCCACCAACCACCACCATCCAGCCCCAGCCGCCGTCAGGGGCGTCCGGGAGACTTTCTACATTAGAGTTTGACATGGTGTGTGGCGGTCTCTTTTTCAAGTTACTGCATAAAATATATATATATACATCGTGATCGAATCGGCGTGACATAGAGTGTCCTTCAGGCATGTCATGGGTGAGTACATCTGTACATGTTGGACAAACATTATAAACATAGCTGAAGCAGAACGGAAACACTTACCACATAGACAGGCGACAAAAATGTTATACTGTCGCCATGGTTTTATTCCACGTACAGGGCACGTGTATATAACACTGTAGTTATAGCGCCTGCAGACAGGACTGACAGGACTGACAGTGTTGTCAATCAAGTGCTCATAAACAGGCTCACAAGCAGTTAGACATCATAAGTCTCAAATAGAACTCCGGTAGATGGTAGGATTGGTCATTATGCTAGGGAGGTCAAAGGTCGAAGGTAAATACGAGTGGTATTTGAAAACCGGTTCTGCAAGACATGCGGACGAGGTATAGTAAAATGGTTATGCATGGGTTATGCACCATTTTCATAGTTAATATAGACGATCAGTGGCGAAAGAATAGGGTTGTGGAACTGTACCCCCCCCCTTTAGGCAACACTGACTTGATTAGTATATGCAAGTACGTGTCAATCTATCCTATACCTACATCGTATACTAAAATCTCAAATAACTGTCTATACACAAAACACGTGTAGACACAAGGAGGCAGACTGTTAAGAGCGCCGTCTGAGTTTCACGTAAAATTTTATTCATGGTCGTTCAGCAAACGATGATTCCTTGGCATCGACTGGCCTTTGGCCACGGGTCCACCTAGTAGTGAAAAACAGGTAATGTTGACTTAAATCATAAAATCCTCATGATCATGTAGCACTCTACAATCTTACAAACAAATGTTGATTACCCTGACATCTATGTATACAACTTTAAATAAAACCACCATTACACATATGATCTGATGGTTTATGTGTGTTATATCTAAGATTTAACTTAAATAAGAAAACAGTACATTGTATATGTCTATATAAGTAACAAATATTCGAATTTATATACTCGATAAGAAACTAAATGGTTCTCACTGTGCAGCAGCTACAGATCACATGACATCCCTGTTTACGGGTTAACAGGATTCAGCTGGCCAATCAGGTCCTCGAGGTTCTCACCTGTGGTCCAGGTTCTGAGGAAGAAAGAAAATATAATTTTTCATAAAAGGTATTAGGAAACTGTCCAATGCATGGCAAAGCGCACTACGCCAGGCAAGCAAAGTAAACGTTTTGACAAATCAGGCTTACCGTATTCAACCGGGAAGATATTTAACATTGAGCAACTAATTCAATAGCGATCCTAGGTCAAACGTAAGACCCAGTCACACATTCCCAAGGGTCAAGCCGAACGCACCCAACCATGGTTAGGAGTAAGAAGGTCGGTCACTGTTCAGCTATACCAGCCGAATGTATCAAAATGTTCAAAACATTCGGGTCTGGGGGACGGGAGGTTCGGCCATGGTTGGCTGGTGTTTGGGAGTAAATCAGCAGTGTTCGGGGGTCAAATTTGATTCAAATCTAACTCGTTTTCAATTCAATTCGTATAGAAAGGTAGGCGTTGCCTAAATCTGGCCGGTCAAATTGCCTAGAACTTCAGCCAACCTTGGTCGCCTGGTGTTCCGGAGAAGGCTTGCCTTGCTTTTTTTTTCTATTTCCAGAAATAAAAGATAGGGTCAATAGCACTCCTGGTCATGGATTAAAAAACAACACAGTCAGCCATCCTTACTGTCCGGTGCAAGGGTCGTAGCACGTCCCAGGAATACTCATGGTGCAGACCGCCAGGCCAGCACAGCCCAGGTCGGGGTTGACGTTGGGAAGGAGAGCCCTGGCCGCTGCCGCCATCTTCTCTGCACTGACGGCGTTAGGACGGAACGGATGGCCCGGCCTGTTCGGGTTCCCAGCAAGGAGCGGCTCGTTTGTTCTGCGATCAAAGAGTTAAATCGTGAGATTTATATATATATGCCCGTCTAAGCTAAAAGAGAGATCGAACCTGCAAAAGGTACAACAACGCCACATGAAAACGTGTAAAAGTAGCAGTCACCGTGATGGAACGATTTGTTTCAATTGGCATTTTCAGACATGACAGAAAATTCTCCGGGCAGAATATTTTATCCCGCCCTTGGTGTTGGTGGTTAAAATCGTATATTCAGCACTTTGAATCGTCACTCACGGTCCGCACGTATCCCAGCAGACCCCCGGCAAGGCACACACCACACAGTCGACTGTGTTGTCATTCTTGGTGATGGGATGCAGGAGGTCAGGAAGAAGGTCAGATCCAGTTGTCCACGTCCTAAGAACGTTTGCGAAATATACGATGTATCTTACAACGAAGCTTACGACCACCAGACCAGTGAAATCGAAATACAATTTCATTCATATGTATGCGTTCATAATTTTTCTCTTTATTTATTCACATAGATTTGTGAGCATTGGATAGAAAGCGCATAATGTGCTTATAAGAATCCTTTGCTCATGAAGCATAAAAACATAAATACAAGTTGAGGTAACAAATGCAAAAGGCAGAGTGAACATAAAATAAAAATGGCTGGCGCACCAATAGAACCCAGAATTATAAGCCAGCTTTCAATGGGGCTTTTGGAGGCGTGATTTAGTCAGGTTAGATGCATGCGTGTTCAAGTGGACAACTAATATAGATTATATACTTATAGTTAGAAGTTTCCAACTAAGAACACACGCACATACCCAATACAGGGGTTGTAGCATGTTCCGGGGATGCTCTGTGTACATACTGTGTAACAGTCCTGTCCTGTCAGGGGGTCGATAGAACCGGTCCCGAGGAGGGCAAGAGCGCCTGGGAAACGGAAGGTGTTATCGTATTCAAAGTATGCTACATGCTCGAAAAAACCTGCTTTGTGAACGGAGTATCAAATATGCCGAGAGTGAAATGTTTCTCAAAGTACACAGGACAGTAACCTGGATACCAGACTGTTTCCAGGGCCTACACAGGGCTGTGCACATGTGGCTGGGACAAACACTTTCATTGGGATATGTTGGTGCTGGAGTCCAGAAGCTGGCCTAGCTGTGTAGACCCTGACTGGAAATATAGTCTGGCATCCAGGCTACCATTACATTCTCTCCTAAATATTAAGTGAAGACGACGTGTTTCCGACGTCTCTGTCTCTGAAATGTCTCTGTCGTAGTCCGTTTCGAAAAGTGTCTGTATGCTGTTATATTGTTCGGCGGACAAGGTTTCAATGTAATTTCTGACTCTCTTGAACAAAAAAGGTTTCCGTTTCAAATACACGTCACATTCCGTATATGAATTCGAAACGACTTTGTGAGCTAGCGTTTGATACATTACACACCGGGTATATACTCTTACCTTGCAGAAGTACCGAGACAAACAGCAAACACAGCATGCTGGTTACTTGTTCCTCTGATCTATGCAGTACTCAATGTAGGACAGTTTATACTGCGAGTCACCGGGGTGCTAAGGACTTACGGCTTAAATAGTTACCGTTATCTTTTTCGGATCCGGTGACCTGGGTATGACTGTTGTTTTTGACAGGTGTTCGGTCACATAGGCCACATTTTATCTCTGTGTTTGTTCCACTGTTAGCATTGTCAGGTCAGAACTTGGCGTACGTGTCACTTTCTAAAAAGTGAACTTTCGTCATACTTATGTAAAAATAGGAACAATGGACATCCACCGACGTGTGTACCGTTTTTTCCAGCATCGTTAAGAAATCCACAGGCTCGTTTTGTCTCAGACGTAAGATATTTTATAGTCATACTGTGTTCATATTCTATCATATCATTATCATTAAAAAGGGCACACTTGCATGAAGTTTAAAAAAGTTTAAATATGCTAACAGTAAAATGATTTTAAAAGTGGGAAGCATCATTCCTTTATAAAAATGAATTGTATCTTCAAATGAATATTCTTCTTTTTTTTAAAAAACTTTTCATATTTAGCTGGTGTGTTAGGCCGAAGGGCTGTAATACCGGCTATACAAATACAGATATTATGACAGTCATGACTATAAAAACATCGCCATTTGTTGTTGGTCACACGTTGTTGTACATCAAAGGCCAAGCGACGGATGGGTGAAGTAGACTCTTCGTAATGTTACTGAAAATAGCGGTGTTTGCCGCCAAGCACGTGGGCAGAACGCACTGCGCCTGCGCGAAACCTTATTGTAGTTGCATAGCACTTCGGCAGAACGTCTAGTTTAAGGCCATATACGTGACAATAGGCAATCTTCCGATGTAACGAAGCATCCATCGAAAACTGTGGAAAACCCTGGTTTTCGCTTCTCCTTGGTTGTAGGCTTCGCTTTTTCAACCTTCTCTTTCTCAATTTTTTTTTTGCAAAACTCAAAACTACTCTGAATAAAGCTCATGCCTGATCTCTGTCATAATCGATAAAAATTAACGCTTTGGGGGAATATTACATTTATACTACAGCAAAGATCGGTGACATGGGTGGGGATCGAACCCGGGACCCCTTGGCCTACCCTGGATGCCAAACTGAGTCGTTTCGGGCCGCTAGCAATTTCCTTCGGCAGCCAAGAGCCCTTCGCCCGCGGGTCTAAATTACCGCTACGGGGAGACTAGCCCGGGGGGAGTTTGGCTGGACGGCTAACTGCCCGATACTAGTTTGGCATCCAGGGTACTCTTGACCCTGAGCCGAACGCGCTACGCTGCGCCACACGACCCCACGACCTCTTAGCCTGGATGCCATACCCAAAGCACACTGGACACAAAATATCTCAGTGTGCACACTGAGATATTTTGTGTCCAGTGTGCTTTGGGTCTGGCATCCAGGCTAACGACCTCTATACTGTAACGTAAAGGGAAAACTGCGTAATATCTGCTAGATCGTCAATAGTACACTTGGCACTCATAGCAATCTATTCCCGCCTTGATTGGTGGGCTTCTGTTGATTCTAACGGTGCTTTATTTTCCGAGTGTAAATAAAGGCTCAAAACGAGGTCACAGTGCCCAAACACCACCTTCTCACTATTCACCTTTGAATGACATGGATCACTCCGCAATCATATATCAAACTTCACGTTCAGAACACGTCATATTTCCGAAGAATGAAAACAGCAGATAGCACCTGAACTAACATAACATGCACAAAACATGCTGAGAAGTTTTATGCATATTTTATGCATATACAAAGGCGCCCTATTTGCATGTGTATTTTTAACCCTATTTGTAGATCCATGTGCCAGCTGACTGCCCTGACCTAGATTTTCCGGACGGCCGTCTGGTCAGTAATCAGGCAGAAACCGGGCAGTCGCGATGGAGTACCAGAGAATCATACGCGAGATTGGTGAATTTGGCCGTTTTCAGAAAACTGTTGCTTTCTGCTTAGCTGCTTTAGTTCTTCCTCACGGAATGCAATCTTTTTCTATGGCTTTTCTCGGCGCTCTACCAGAGCACAATTGCCGACTACCTGTGGTTAATTCCTCCCTCAGCGATTCAGTTCCCGTATCCTGGTCAGACCATCTACACAGTCTTAACGGCAGTATTCCACTGGAACTGGACGCTAGTGGGGAGTGGAGATACAGCAGATGCCAACAGTTCAACTTAAATGAGTCAGGTTTGAACGTGGTTACGGAAAACAGAACCCTGCAGCGCTGTACAGACGGCTGGGTGTATGACCGCAGTCATTACGGAACAAGTATCGTTACGCAAGTGAGTAGACGTCTATAGCTGAAATACATGACCCTACAGTCCGTTATACCAAACGTTGTACGGTTCCTAAAACTGGCAATGTAGAGGATGTTTAATTTGTGGCCTGGGTGCCAGACGCACAGCACACTAGTTATGTGGGTCTGGCACCCAGGCTACTTTATATTTTGGATGTACAGGTAGATACAATATCAGCAGTAGTTTGGGCCGTTCACCAAAGTGTAGCATGTCGTGACCTGGAATAACCCTAACCTCCCCCTGCGGGCATCCTCTTTCAACAGCCACAGTCTAAGTCACGTCCTAAATTTTAAGTAGTTACGAATGCCAAAAGGTTGCAAAAACAACCAGCGGCCACATTTCTGTAATGTCCTGTCGATCTCCAACAGCCTAAAAGCAACAACAGGCCCTGACTTAATTTGCTCAATACCTGGAGAGTAAATATGTTTAGCCTCAGTCCCGGTAAGCTGGTTGCCTGTATCTGTATCTGTATAGCCGGTATAACCGCCTTTCGGCGTAACACACCAGCTTCGCAGGCACGCGGCGCGGCGGCAGCTGGCTATATTACACCGATCGACTTGTTACACCTAACCCTTGAACTTCTAGCTCTAGACATTGTTTAAAGCTATCTATTGACAGTGCCCCTACTGTACTTGGTGACAGTGAGTTCCACTCTGCGATAGTTCTAGGAAAGAATGAATTCTTGAACACCTCAATCCTTGGTTGATAACTCTGGTACTTGAATGCGTGGCTATTTCTTGTTCTCTTCTGAGCTGGTATTAGGTACTTAGTAGTTGGGACATCCACCAGTTTATTAGTCATTTTGTACATCATGCATAGTCTAGACATCTTTCTTCTGTCTTCAAGTGAGGTCCACTGTAGGTTTCTTTTCATTTCCGTGACACTAGCACCTCTTACATAGTTGTTCATACAGAATCTTGCAGCTTGATTCTGTACCCTTTCCAATTTGTCTTTGTCTTTCTTTGTATATGGATCCCATACTGTCGCTAGCGTATTCTAGGTTCGGTCTTACAAGTGACGTGTATGCAAGTTGATTTTTACTCTCGTTGGACATGCCCACAGATTACGTTTAATCACTCCCAATGTCTGTTTCGCCTTAGTTGTGATATTATTAACATGTGCACCCCACTTCAGTCCGCTTGTCAGCGTGACGCCCAGATACGGATGGATTTTTGTGGTTGCTAAAGCCTGACCACAAAACTGGTAGCTAGTTGCATGTGGTGTTCGTTTGTTTGTTATGTGCATAATGTAGCATTTTTCGGGATTAAACTGCATGAGCCATTTGCTTTGCCATTCTTCCAGGGTGTTCAGGTCTTTTTTGGAGTAAGTTGTGAGTCGGTCTGTGTAGAAAGCTCTACATACAATAGACAGTCATCGGCAAATAACCTCACATTTGAGTCAGGCTGATCTGGTAGGTCATTTATATACAAGAGAAAGAGCAATGGCCCCAGGACGGTTCCTTGAGGGACCCCAGACACTACTTTAACTGGAGCCGACGCCTTCCCTTCAACCACTACTGTTTGCTCCCTGTTGGTCAGGAAAGCCTTTAACCAATTCAGCGTAGGGCCTTGGATTCCATAATACTCCAGTTTTGAGATGAGCCTGCCATGGGGGACTTTATCAAAGGCTTTAGTGAAATCAAGTATTGCTAAATCTACCTGCCGTTTACTGTTTAGTGCGCCAGCTATGTCATGGACTGTTAGTATAAGCTGTGTTTCTGTGGATCGTTTGGCTCTGAATCCATGCTGGTAATCCGTTAATATACTGTAACTTTCTAGGTGCTTCATGATTTGGCTATGGATGATATGTTCAAGTAGTTTGCAGGATATGCAGGTCAGTGAAACAGGTCTGTAGTTGCTGGGGACCGCTCTATCTCCTTTTTTAAAGATGGCGCATATATTTGCATCCCTCCAATCTTTAGGGATTTCTGCAGTGTTTAGCGAGTGTTGGAAAATATTGGTTAGAACAGGCGCGATTTCACTAGCTGTCAACTTGAGGAACCACGGTGGTATTTGGTCTGGTCCGGATGCTTTAGAGGGATTGAGATCTTGAAGCATTTTTTCGACACCATCAGTAGAAACTACTATATGTTCCATTGGAGGAGTACAGGGCTGACCTAGAGATGGCATATCTGTGGTGTCTTCCTCTGTGAAAACACTTTTGAACTGTGAACTGAGTACTTCTGCTTTTTTCCCGCTGTCACTGATGATGGTATTTCCCACCTTTAGGGGTGCTACCCCGACAAGGTCTTTCCTCAGTCCTTTTATGTACGACCAGAATGTTTTGGGTTTGTCAACTATAGCTTCTCCCAGTATGTCTGCCACGTATTTAGAGTGTGCTTGTCTTATGCTTTTCTGAACTCCCTTCTTAACTCTCTTATATTTGTTCCAGTCTTCCTCTTGGCCTGTTTTCTTAGCTTTGTTATAGAGCCGCTGCTTCTTACGACAGTGCCTCCTTAGGTTTCTGTTGAACCAAGGCAAGTTGTATCTGCTTGATGTTATCTTACTTGGGATGTGCTTGTTCATCGTGTCTTTCATTTTGTCTTTGAAGTCTGACCACTTCTGTGTAACTGACATATCCTGAGTTCTTTTGTGAAAGTTAGTTGCATAATCCGTTAGGTCTTTCTTAATGGCTGGTTCGTCGGCTTTTGTGCGGATGTACACTTTTCTCTTAGGTTTCCTGTTTTGTTTCAGTGCCAGGTTAACGTCCACTAGAACCATGTCGTGGTCACTTATCCCCGGGACTACTGTGGTCTTCTCAATTATGTTGGGGTTATTAACTAAGACCAGGTCCAAGAGATTACCATTTCTAGTTGGTTCCTGGACTGTTTGAAATAACCCGTGGTTATCCATTAGGTTTAGTAGTTTCTCTGCTTGGCCTGTGTAGGCCTGACTGTTGTCAGCTACAGTAGTATCCCATTTGATGCCAGGGTGTTGAATCGCCAAGAATGATCACATTGTCAGAGTTTATTTTTGCTCCCATTTTACCTATAGACCTGTCAAGTTCATCCAGACTATTTCCCTGGTCTGATGGGGGTCTGTAGTATGTACCTATTATCAGTGGTTTCCTTCCTGCAAGTTGAGTTTGTGTCCACAGAACCTCGCAGTCTGTGTCAAGGTCTGGCCTATGGGTAACAATTAGATCATCTCCGTTGGCCTGAAATACACCACCTCCTTGGCCAGTTTGTCTGTCTTTCCGGTGTGCTATGTAGTTGCTGGGGAATATTTCACTACTTGCTATGTTTTGGTTGAGCCATGACTCTGTACCTGCTACTATATCTGGCTTGTAAGTGTCAACTACTGTCGCCAGTTCAGCTGTTTTGTTCCGCACACTCTGACAGTTTACTAGGAGAAGTTTATTTTTGGATCTCTTGTGACTATGACCCCTCGTTTGAGAATTACCCTGCTTTGATTTAAGTGGAGTGGATGTAGCCATTGGGATTTCGTCTGGTAAACTTGAGTCAGAACTCAGCGTGTCAAATGAGTTTACTGAATGGAATGTTTCATCAGTGATATCGAATATGGCCGATGCAAAGTTGGGTATACCACAGTCACAACATACCCACGAGTATGATCGGTGGGTTTCTAGTGCACTGTATACTTGAGAACATAGCCCAATGCAGTCACTGTGGTACCATCTATCGCATTCATCACAGCATATTGCATTATGGGTGTTACGTACTGCCTTGTTACAACTCCCACATGGAAACTTTGGTGGTCTAGGCCCTGGGTTGATCTCAATATCCCCGCTTAAGATCAGAATCATGATCAGTGAAAACTTTGTGCCACTATTGTGCAATAGCATTTTCTTGCTACTGACGTGAGTTCCGTTAGCCCCGCTGTGCTTAATCATGAAAGCAAAAGTGGCCCAGTCAGATGTGCAATCGGTTCTGAAGTTGCATGTGACCTGTACTTTCTTTATCTCCTGTTTGTCTTTTGGCTGTGATCCTGGCTCAGCCCTGCTAAGTACTGTGCAAAGGGCTAGGAATATACAAGTGTAGTGGAGTTCCATTTTTATTCCCATAACCGCGGGACCCAGTCACCGCTCCTGTTATTCCGGAATTCCTTAGCGGGACCCAGTCACCGCTCCTGTTATTCCTTAGCGGGGCCCTCTGTCACCGCTCCTGTTATTCCTTAGCGGGACCCTCTGTCACCGCTCCTGTTATTCCTTAGCGGGACCCTCTGTCACCGCGCCTGGTCAGCTTATTTTGTTGGCAGGCTACTGGAAACAAAATATCTGGTCACTGTCCGACATGGGGCGCAGCTAAGGGGGCAACCAGGTAGTGCAGGGTTGCAACTGTAGTCCTTAATGTGAATGTTCACAGATAGGGAGAAAGAGAATAACATCCACAAAACGGAAAGTAATGCGCAAACGTTAACCTTCAGTTCATAGATGCACCAACCTGTTTATAGCAGTTTTTATTTTTTATTTTATTCACATGGATTTTTGAGCATTGGATAGGAAGCACTTGTTGTGCTTATGTAAATCCGCTGCTCATAACACATAATACAAATGTAACATAAAAATGACATAAAGTATAACATAAACATAAAATGAAAGTGGCTGGCGCACCAATACCTAGCATAACATTATTGAGATTGGTCAAATCTTCCAGAGTACTAGTGGTGGATATAGTTAAACACAATATCAAAGAATACGCCCCACGAACGTTGGATACAGGCGGCCAATGGATACAGGACTGGCCAATATAAAGTCCCCTTGCCCCACCGAATCTGCTTGGAGATTACCAAAAGGTATAAAAAGGCCTACTTTCTTCAGGTAATGGCCAGTCGTATGCGTATGAAAACCACTTGAAAAAATGTATCGCAATGCAAGAAATAGATACAAACTTACAAAGTAAAGAAAGATCTACGAAAAATAAACGTCTTGGAGATGAGAAACAGTGGCGTTGTCTCAAATTTAGCCTTATAGACACAATTTATTGATTGAATCTAGATGGGTAAATAGCGCTGACTTTGATTGTGTGTGTCATAGGGTGCTGTGCTAGATTAAACTAATGGATGTTTACATTGCTACATACATAATTTGACATCTTACATGTATATTTCGTAGAACTATGGCGAGTGTCCACCGGCTTAACCATGGTGGGCAAACTTGGCGTCAGTGTCTCGTACGCAGTTTTTCCAGTTTACTCATCAGAAGTCTTCCCAACAGTTGTCAGGTTCGAGCACGTTCCTAACGTTAGATTAGGAACAAGATTTTAACTTCCGCCAGTGGTAACATTATAATTGCGAGTCTTGCTGAACTGGGCTAAAATGCCATGTACTTGACACTGCTTTGATTTTAATCATTTGTTTTCGGACATTCCAATTTGCCGCAATCACCTTACAGTGCCATACTTCATTGAAATTGTCCTCGAATAATCGCGCAAGGTAAGTTATAACTGTGTTAAAGTTATATATGCTGCTCGAAGCTTCTGAGAATGAATGTAGCTTTGTACGTTAATTTCCTGTTTTCTTTCGCAGAAACATGGGGATCGGGCTGGCCTCTATGATTGGCCGAGCAGGCGGGATCCTCGCCCCCTTCGTGGCTCTGTTGGGGGAGTACTGGGCCCCCCTCCCCCTCCTCACCTTCGGCATCCTCATCTTCCTGGACGGAGTGGCCATCTTGGCTCTGCCCGAGACACTGGGCGTCCCGTTACCGAACACACTGGAGGACGCTGAGAACTTGAAACGGTATGTCTCAAGCCTGTATTTCTTCTCATCTGAATTCAATTGATTCTTTTTACGTGAAATTCTCATCGGTCTAGGAAAAAAACCTTAACGGTTACTGTTAGCCACTTGTAACATTGGTTTCGATAGACGTTTCTTTGCATATGTTAGTGGCGAGATCAATAATCGATACTTTGCAGATTTGAATCAATTTGTATACAAAGAAATACGTACAAAAGGCGACACGGATATCTGGGCATTGATAAAAGGTCAAATAGATCTTAACATTACACAGCCAGTATCTGTCCTTGGTGCTGACTTTACCATTCATATGTACTCTTTGCTAAAAAGCAATGCTACAATATTTGTACTGTACATACAAGCAGTATTATCTGTCGTAGGTGTTGACTGTGCCATTTGGATGTACTTTTAGGTTGTTAGAAAGCAATGTTATCATATTTGTACTGTAGATACATCCAGCATCTGTCCTTGGTGCTGACCGTACTATTTGTACTGCTTGAATACTGAAAAGCAATGGCAGAATATCTGCACTGTAAATGTAAGCAGCATCTTTCATTGGCACTAAATATGCCATTTATATGCACTTTACAGATGCTAAAAAGCAATGCTACAGAATTGTCATGATTTTGTAATAATGGTACTTTGTTTGTCACAGTGTGAGAGACAAGAATTCAGAGAACACAGAGAGGATCCTGTCAGATGAACTCCAGAAGACTGAGATTACACAGATCTATGATAGGATCACGGTTTTGTGATCCAGGATTCTGCTTTAAGAACTGTAAGGACAAAGACTCGGTCAACACTGTGTCTGCATGGTGAAAAAAATCATGGTTCACCACAATATCTCCCAACGATAAATAAATAAACAAATAAATAAAAAATAAATATCAGGTATCTGGTTGTTTTACAACAAAGTAGACCTGCCCAAAATAAACATTCACATATTTTTTTTGTTCAAAACCATTCATTTATTCTATTATGTAAAACTTTCACTTACATGCTGTGGGAATATCAAACACATCTTGAAAACTCAGTTTTTGTCAAAGAAATTACTTTTCTTCCATTATTGCACAGTTCCTAGACTACCGCATACAGACTGGCAAAGGATATTAGTAAACTGACAAAGTTCAAAGTTGCTTTTTTTATTATGCCCTAATATATATATATATATGATGGTTAAAATGTTAATATGTGAAAAACTGACAGAAAAAATTGGCCATTTCATGGCTAATATAAAAAAACATGCCTTATGACATGAAGCTTTCCAGCTTATGTCATTGTTATTTTGACATTCTGTACCTATTCTCCAAGTGGCTTTGTAATGACATTAGTTTTTACAAACAATTATCATATCACTATATCACCCCATGTTCAGCTTTTTGGGGTATATCTGTAGTCTTTGACATTTGACACATATCAATCATGATTTTGGAACTGTGGACTAAGATCCTTCTTCGTGGTGTATTCAGACAATTCTACTTAAGGAAGACGTGGCTTTACAACACCTCATTAAAATGTTATAGTAATGCTATGTACAAGCACTGACCCTCTGTCAGTAACATAAATATAAAGGCAATATCAAGTATGTGCTGTTAGAAATATATTGTATAACAATCAGAGATTATGACACAGTAGAATTAGACAAAGGAAAATATTTGACAATCTAAACAGATATGGGCTTGCCGCTGGCATATGTCATGTATTCTGTCTTGTACATGCTCGGTACTGCAAATGTTTCTAGTGGACCTGGATCTGAAAGAAATGTGCAATAAAATTAGTCATTAATGTGTCAGATGACTTGTCAACTCTGCTATGTTATTAAATGATATGAAAATGATAGTGAAAGGTCTACTAGAATATGAAAATTAAAGCCAAAATTTGAGGCAACATGTGCTCCACACAATTGAACAATGAAAAAGCAACTTTGCAAATTAAAAAAAGAAACACTATCACATCTGAGTACCAGTTGGTGCCCTGGCCTTTGTAACAAAGGTATATGGCAAGTCAGGTGAGTGGTATTGTGGGTAAAGTAAAGAGTGTATTCTGGGTAAAGGTTGGCATGACAGCTGTATATGGAGTCTGTACTGACCTGGTATGACCCATGGTGTGTCCACAGGACAGGAGAAGATATCCTTGCTCTTCACATCTGAAGGTTCAATGTAAGACTGGCTGTACAGGGTCTTCAGTCCACTGCAAGGAGGTGGAGATAGGGAAACTTTAATGTGAGCCAACAAAAATGAACTTACACTTCATTATATAACCATTACACCTTTGTTTTGGCAATCTCAGATTGTTTGTTAACAGAGGGATCGACAAGCTCTCCCCACAACTTCTAAGGATAACAGAAAAAATTAATAGTCATGTCGATCTTCAAGTATGTGCTCCATAGGCCTTCATTTTAGCAACAACATTTTAACAACAACAACTACTAAAGCTATTCTTGGTTATCAGACTATAATTGTATAATACTTGGATTTGTAAGGACCCTCACCTGTGTGGTACAGGTGACAGCTTCTTGGGAAGTCTGGGAATCCTGGTTGCCGTGGGGAACCAGGTGATGTCTCTCATGGGGGTTTCTCTGGAGATCCTAGAGGCATCTTTTGGAAGTGGGCTGCGCATGGGGAAATTCAGAACAACTGTTAATTAGAGTACCAGTGCCACAAATGCATACTAAATGTGTGACTCTCATATTGACAACCAAAAGATATAGTTCAGATATCACATACATGTAATTTGATGAACTTTTACTCACTTATGTTTAAGTCCATGCCCCCAAGCTTTCGGGTAATCCTCACACTGCCAATAAGTTGGGACATCCTTCCTAGGATACCCCTCCATCTCATGTCTACATTGGAAAAAGAAGAATGTTACATACCAGTTCATGCACATACAAGCCACTTTGTTTCATGCACACTGCCTTATACAATGTATCTGTATAGCAGCTGATTATCCTTTGTTTGGTGAACCACTGCTCAGTATTGTCTGCACTTATTTTAAGAACATATGTAAACAGTGTAGGCTTTTGACTTTGCTTTAAGTCAACAATCTTTACATTTGAACATTCGGACTTTGCATTTTCTCATTTTGGTGTCTTCAACAACACTGAAAATGAACTCATGCTGTTGACATGGTTAACATGGCAAACAAAAAAAAGAATGTCAGCAGCTATGGTTCTCATCAGGTCTCAAACTTATACTCTATTCTGATTGGTCAATGTTGTTTACAGTAAATAACTGTTTTGTTTGCAGTAGTGTCAGGTGTTTGTTGTGATACACACCTGAAGATGGTAACCAGGTGATTTTTGGTTTTTCAACTTCAGACCCCTATCACAAAGATGTGGGAAAAAGAAAAGGTGAAGTCCATTAGTTAGGATGATAACCCACCTGCTGAAGGGCCTGTGGTCCTTGTGTGTTGTGGTAATGTACATGTCATTCAGTCTGAACACACCCTGGTCACGGGCATAGAAAGGCTGTCCAGACAGGGCGTCATTCTTTGTGCTTGCAATCACAGCCTGTGAGGTAGAGGGAAAAAATTTAATCATACAGGAACATTTTTCTTTCAAAGTTACCTTTATCAAAGATTGATATGGAAGACTTTCAATTTGTGATCTGTGTTCTAATGTCGCTTTATTCCTCTTCACCTTCCATATTAAATACATATTATCCAATTCTTATAATTACATGAGGTTCAAATACTGTGCAACCCCAGGAAGGTTTGTATACATAGAAGCAGCGTACCTTAGTGGGGCCGTCCACATGATGGTCTCTCAGGGTGGGGTTTTGTGGACCTGCATTGAACGCAGAGTCCAGACTCAGACCCCGTTTTGCATTGTAGTTGTCCTGAACTTCAGTCTTCTGATTACCCATGGTGAGGGCAGGACGCAAGGCCTCACGGACCTGGAGCTAGAGGTCGAAAATACATAATGTTAGGATATCACATGGTGAAATATTTGTCTGTTTAATCTCAATAGTGGCAGAATGATTGATAGACTAAAATGTCTGGGTTTATACTGTCCTTACCTTTTCATGAAGATCCTTTACATAGTGTACTTTCCAATGTCCTGGAGCCTTCTTGTGCAGGGGGTTGGACAGAACACCCCCCATGTACTTGTAGTCATGGAATTTCCCGGTGGTGGTTTCATAGTTATTGATCAGGCTGTCGTACGGGTGCACCTCATCTTGCTTGGACAAGGGGGGAGGCAGGGGGTCCAGGACTGTCGTCTGAAACAATGTTTCAAAACATTTATTTCACTTCATCTGCTAGCAAAGCTCAACAGTTGTTAGCTGACATAACTTCAGCATAAGAAACAACATCACTGAAATGTAACATTGAGTTCCAAATGTGTAAGCACCCTTAAACTAACATTGAAACTTTAAGTGTTTTTTGTTGCTACTTTACAATCACTAAGCTACCTGCCTGACTGCATAGCAAAGAACGCAGAAACCATTGAACCAGTAAGTGTGTTTATCTTTAAACAACAAAAAGCCATGAATGTTAAAATATCAACACCATAAAGGGTATTATATGTACTCTGTGTTTGGTTAGTCCACAGATGGTTTGTTGGGAAGTACACAGTTACCTTACCCTTACATGTTAACCTTGTACGACTTTGATTCTGTCAACAGGGATAAAGTTACGGAGGGATCTTATCGACTAGCCTAACAGTATTTCTACTTTCTGGTTGACCACTAGACTGAGGTATGAAGATTAAAAGCGGACCACGTAACAGTAGTGTCAAATATATGGCTTCGTTTTTAATGTTTGTTAATGTTTCCCGTGAGTGGGGCGTTGTTTCCCTTTATTTCGGAAATCGGATAATCTGATTGATATTTTGTGCCAGTCGTTGTTAGGATACTCGAGAATTTTTGGTCCATTTCACAGCAAAGTACTCGGAGTACCACTTTGGTGTCAGGAAGGGAATATATAAGGCAGTTACACCCAAAATTTTCTAGTTAGGAGTACCAGATCTATACCCAGCTTCAGGTAAACAATGCAGTAACTATGTACACGTAACCCTATATTCTAATGGACTAATGGCATACCCGGCTTAGATATGCCACTCGTTAACGTTAGCCAAATAAAGTGTGCAGAATGAATGAAGCTATTAAACATTTGCAAGGCAAGGCGACCTACCCTAAACGTGGAGTCAGGGAAGTAGTAACTCCCGCGGAACTCGTGCCCCTTGCCGGTACTGGTCAGATGTAAGTCTTGCCGACTGTCCTGCAACATCTTGGCGGGCGGAGAGCTCGACTTCTCGCTGGGACGGGCAGGTTTGTTTAGTCTCTGGTGGCGTGGCTGCACCTTTTGTCCCTTCGTTTACACCAGTTGCCAGGCAGTACAAACAGCTGATCATGACGTCACGAAATATCCCAGCATGCATCAGTGCAAGCTGTCAGACACGACAGTTCCGCTAGGGGCGCTTCTGACGGGCTGAGGTCAGGTGAGGTCAGGCTTGTGTCAACATCATGTGACTGTCAGTGGTGCTATCAAGATTTGAAACTTCAGAGTATCGCTGAGTCTCTACACAAGGGTTACAGATTACCTGGAGGGCGGGGCTGTGGTGACGATTATCAGGTAAGAGTATGCTGCTGTTTGTGGTGTCAATATTCGCTGTTGTGTCGTCGCTATACCGTGTGTGTGTGGCTGTGTGGGGAGGGGGAGGTGGGTGGGGGTGCTAACAAATATTAAACTTATAATTTTATATCTAGGGACCTCTCTAGGACTAGCCAAAAGGAGGTAAAATAACCTCCTTGGGTTCTGAGTAAGATGACAGTCTCATATACTGCATGGCTCTGAGACCCCTATGAAATGCAAACGGGGCAATTATAAACAAATTGATCCCTAAATTGTTTCAAAATTATCAACTAGTTCTTAATTTCAACCTGACCCTAAATTGTTTCAAAATTATCAACTAATTCTTATTTCAATCTGTACAAAAAGTGACCATCAGTCATCGTCATCATTCTTATTATACTAGCATCACAGAGTCAGAAGCAGAGACATCATGATATCGTAAAAAGTACCTGGTGCATTATTATAACTTTGATATTCAGCCATTAACGTTACTACTAAGCTGTCTGACACTCTGACTTCAACATTTTGTTCACTTGTTCAGGTGGAATCAAGGAGGTTACCCTTGATGGAATTAAACAGATCTCTCTTTTCTCTCATCTCACCAGTACAGTGGTTTGGAGATGGGGTGTTGTGGCTGGCTATGGAACAGCTGGCTGTGCCTGGGACTGGGCATCCTCCCCATCTCTGTGGGGATCCTGACTGCTGCAACATTCGCCATATCGTAAGTTTGTTTTATTTAACTAATAAAAGGAATTCTGCAAAGAGTCTGAATTGATCTTAAAAGATCTGGGTAGTGGGTACCATTCTCCGTAGCTAATACCACTGGCTGTCCCTTTTCACTTTCTAATTGGAGCAGCAAAAAGGGAGAGCCAGCATAACTAGGGAGGATAGTACCCAGGCTATTCAAAACAGCCAATTTAATACAGTGCTCTCCTGTTATTTGCATGGACGATTTGTCAGGGAATTTTATTCCTATAACAGGTTTAGTCCAATAACCTTAGGAGAGTCCACACGACCGACAGGGATGGGAGGTCAGTTGGTTATGGATGATACTGGGCTGGGGCCAATTGAAACAACCACAGACATGATGTTATTGGTATTTATATACTCACTTTCACCCACAACTACATACATGTACCATATTCTAATCTTCAAGTCGCATTCAGAAACTCATAATGAACAGGGCTAACATGGAGATAGAAGATCAGACACATTCCACCTTCATAGTGTTGGGCAAAAGCTTACCAAACCTAAAACAACAGTCCAATCAAGGACACCAAAAAGGAACAAAGGACTTCTTTTCACACAATCAGTGATTGGGGGTTCTCACCTGTCCAGAAGGAAGTGACAACAGAGAAAGTGTATGACAATGGAGGGTGCAGGGGTGATAATGAATGAATAACAATGGACTTCATGCGGATTTGCTGATGCGCAACAAGTTACATGTATTTCTTTCACGTATTTCTGGGTCAGTGTGCCATTGACCTGGAAATATTTTAGTCCAATATCAGGTTAAAGTCATAACAGCTCATGCAATTATGCCATGCAATTTATAATGTAGTGAATGGGAAATGGTTTGGGTTTTCAGAATTTTATGCAGATCCCAGGTTTATGCCAATGTCAGTGATGCAAATAGTTGGTGAGCACTACTAGTATCTAAATTTTTCTTCTGTACACACAGATATAGCATAGCTGTGGTCCTGAAGCATGTGGCTCCTGGCTTCCCTTACATCAGGTAAGTTCCACTTCCATGCACATAACACTGTAATGTTACATGTACATACTCCACTGAGAAAGGGCAATAGTAACATAATATTACAGTATCAATATGGTGGCTTAGGTTACTGGAAGCAAGAGCAATGGGGGTTGAGGGTTTGATTCTTGGCAAGATGTTGTGTCCTTAGGATTTTAGGCACTTCACACGACTGTCCTCACTCCACCCAGGTGTACCTGACCTTGGTTGGCATGCCCTTCCAATCAACTCACTCCTCATTACATAATGGCCTGAAAAAGGCCATGGGACTTCCTTTTTCACAGTTCATTTGTGAATCTCAGCACTGTTACCCTAACTCCAAATCATAAGTGCATTTTACTTTACATGTGCTATTTCAGCATCCTGTGTTACATCTTGTGTGTCATTAAAATGTTGTGTTGCCATAGTGATACAGGTACAGAACCACCAGAAAGCTGCATATTTGGACAGCTGCTCAACATCACAGCTATGCTTGGTGAGCTGAACATTTTGTATCTTGACACTGTAACACTATCCTTCCTGTTCTTTCTAAACATTTTGCTGATTTGCTTTAAAATTTGTATCAATGTCTCAGCTGCCTTCACAAAAAATTGTAAAAATGTAATTTTTTCTTGGACTTTGAAGCAAGACTCTTGAAATCAATTACACTGATAGTGATATTTCAAAGATGTTCCACAACTTACACATGTTTTCTGTTTCCATGTAATTGCCTCCTAGTTGCTGCAACAGTTTACGTCCGCTACAAACAGGTTCTTGAGTACAACCACAGGCCAGAGGACAGTGGTCTCCTACTGCTGAACAAATTCTCTGCCTGGCTGGGAATGTTTATATCTCTGGGCATGAGCCTGGTGGCAAACTTCCAGGTGAGACCTGAGTCTCCATGCATATGCGTGTTCTATAGAATTTTGATCACTTAATCCATGCAACATCAAACAGACAGTTTGAAACAACAAGACCAAGGATAACAAAACAATAACGTTAATTATATTTGAAAGATTTGCTTTACCCTAATAGCCTCCTTGTAACCTAACTCTTCTTTGTTTTGTTTACGTCTGTGTGAGGAATAAAGATGGAACCGTGAAGAACTTGTTGAGGAATGTGTGTATCATCCATGTATGATAGCCATATTCATGTGTAATAGTTATTTCAGATTATGCTACCATTAAAATCCATTGAAATCCATTCTATTTCCTTCCCAGGAAAGCAGCGTCATCATAGTTCACGTTGTCGGGGCCTTCATGTGTTTTGGGTGCGGAATCGTCTACGGTTTTCTCCAGACGGTGATGTCATACAAGATGTACCCACACCAGAACAGCCTGGCCGTCTGTAGAGTCAGACTTGTGGTCCTTGTTCTCGCTACACTGTGCTTCATCACTAGTATCCTTCATGAAGAAACTGTGCAGTTGTCTGTCCAGAAATCATTACTGTAACTCTTGAAATGTTTGTGGTGGTTTTATTTTCATGACATTCAAACAGAAATAAGATTGACACTTAATGGCCATCTTTCTGTTGTGCTTATGCTTCTGTGGGGTAGTGAGCTTGGATCCAATGTGTATTTTGTGACACTTGACAGCATTTTTGGGTGGTTTTTTGGATTGTTCCTTAAACTGTTCCCACAGCAATAGTTGCAGGTGGTCTGGCAGCAAGGGACTACCACGGGACAGACATCGAGAAGTGGCTGCCTGAGGATGGGGTAAATCCTGTTACACATATCATGTCCTCTGGAGATGGAGTTTGGAAATAGTACTGTGGTATTTTCAAAGAGTTTGATTTGATCTGTATGTGTAAAAAAAACATAAGGGTATGTGATAGTCATGCCCTGCTCCATACTACTTCGGTGTAAATATCATAATTCCATTCTTTTATTGTATGTCCCCTTCTATCTGCAGGGATTTGTCCCCCACGTGGTGAGTACAGCAGCAGAGTGGGGCATGTCCATCTGCTTCATCCTCTTCTTCTTCACGTACATCCGAGAGTTCCAGAAGATCACCATGGAGGCTCAGGTCCGCCTCTTCACCGACGTCATGGCGCTTCCCTGTGACCTGGAGAGGAGTGTGGGCAGTGAAGAGATCATCCCCACGTGATCCACATGTGCTCAGACACTAGTCCATGTTTTTTTATTGATTAAGACCACAACAATTTGATCTCTGGGTTCTCAGATTTTTCCAGGAAGCAGGCAGCAAAAAAAAAACATCAGCAGCCCTGGGCATCTTGTGATAGACCCAGATGCTACAAAGTCAACATACTAGACCGGTTTATAATTAAAAGAATGAATTTTGTACTTTTAATCAAATCAGTGCCATTATGAATAGAAAAAACTGTAAGAACTAGGAAGATGAGGACTGACTGTTCTTTAACTGTTGGGGCCAAATTATGAGGAGTTGATTTAGAACATTTTTTTTGCAAATCATTAAAAAAAAGTCAAGTAGGTGATCTTAGAACCAAGAAATCGTGATTTGTGTCAATAATTGAAATTGTTCATCATCTTAAATCAAAATTGTATGATACTTGAAATATATTCCCTTTAAAAATTCAGTGAAAAATCTTATCCTGTTCTACATTCCTCAGGTGATATGGGTATGAAGAATGTAACCTTTACGTTTCCATCCTCTGAAATTAATTTCATCGCCAGTATTGGAAGAAGCAAATAAATGAAACCTGAGACTACGTGCTTAAAACATAAGACCAAAAGTTGGGTTGGGTAAACTACATGTATATGGTTCCTTATCTTTCTACTTGTTGTCTCTGTACAAGGCAGAAGAAATACCAGCTACAATTTACAGGAATACATTTAATCCTTTTCCCATGTTGTATTTCAGAATTTGAAGGAGAAACTCACCTTACTTGAGCATTGATTAAAATTTGAATTGTTGTTCATTTTACATAATGGGTATCAAATATGATAAAGTAATTTACAAGGCTGGATGATGGCCTAATGTCTTAATTAGTATACCACCAAGGTCTCAACTCTACACGGCAGAAATAATTATGTCTTCCACCAACTCTGAAAAGCCAACAAAAGATTAAAAGCTATTATAGATATATGCTTGAACATCTGACTACAGTTTGTGATATTTGTAATTTTTAATGTAACAATACCAGACTCTTCTGTCATCTAAGTTATTTTGCTAAAAGCCTCTACAACAGTTTCTAAACATAATGCGGATTCCACCCCAGAAGCAAAATGTAATAACTTAGGTGGGTTTCATATGTAAGGTCAAGTTGATATTACTTGGTAAGGTATGGCAGATAGGTGGTGCACTTGTATAAAAAAGTTAAGTGTTTATTGTGGAATTTGGTTCTATATTTCAGGCTGCTATGAAATGTTTTCCCAATTATGATTATATATCACTTGGGTTCTTTGTTGCTTAAGATAGTTGATACTTTTGTATACTACACAAAGGTTTATGCTATATTTCTTCTATATTCTAAAGCATGTTGTTAAACATTATATTTTCTGTATTCAAAATGACCATTCAGCATTTGGAGCTGTCAGAATTACATGTATATATTGCTTTGTCAAGAACAAATATAAACAATGACACAGTGAATGGGCACTTCTAGATTCATTAAAAGCTTCTGATAGATAATCAAATCAGAATTTCCAATTGAACAATTTTCTTCCAAACATGTTTAAGAGCGGTTTGTATAGAATGGTCACTTTTCAAAAAAAAAATAATAATAATAATCATACATGTACTTGATGCCAGTGAAACTAATTTGATACTTTCTGCTGATTTGTATAGAGCTGTATAGATTGATATCTCAGTTACTTTATACACATACAAAAAGCATTTGAAAAATATCAGATAATGATGCTGATCATAATAAAGATGATCATGTGGCTGACAATATGTGTTTTCTTCACTCACTTTCTTCCATAGAAATGAAATTTACTGGGAACAAGAATGATATAGAACTGTTCTTATGTTCCCAAACTTTATCACCCACAGTCATGTTTATGCTATCTTAGAGTCTGTCGGAAATTTCAACACATTATTCTTTGTTATGATTACAAGTACTTAAGTTTATCGCAACAGACTCAGGGCAATGTTATGGTTTAAGGCCAAGGAGGTTTAAGGCCCAACAATTGTGATATTGTGTAATCTTCAGTCCCTGTTTGGCCATGGGGTACAGAGACATATCGTTTTAGGTACATATTGTCACAGGTCAATGAAACAGTAGAAACAGAGTACCTTAAACATACAACAACTTTATTGAATGAATCAGACACATTTTGCATATATACACAGAATCATAATGTATCTTCTTGCAAAAGATGTAGTTCTCCATATACATGTACTATCTAAGAAATTTGTTTTGGATTCACTTTATATGATAGTAGCAGCAGACAAAATACATGTACACACAAAATGAAAATAAAGAACATCAATAGTTAATGCACATAATTATCATCAATGTTGATAAAAGAAGTCACAGGTGTAGTTTCTGAAACAAAACCATCAACTTTATATAGAATTGTCAGAGATCCTCTCTGTTGGTTGAACCTTCAATTAATAATATATTGTCGACTATATCAAGGTACAAGGGATAATAATTGGTTTTAGATGTCACAATCAATGCGCTGATCAATAAAATGTACACTACAACTTCTCATTTCAACCCTTTCTAGTTTTGGCAGTTGATAATTATAACACATGCCCAACAATATATATATACATACATCATGCTTCCCCAAGTATCATCAATATACATCCCAACAAGCCATGAACATTATATACAAACTTTCAAATAAGAAATCTAGTTAGTTTTCACATACATGTATCTATTGGTTTCATTCAAAAAGCTAATCTCCCTACTATAAAGTATAACATCATGTATAAAATAAGATACACAAAATGGATAATGTTATTGTTGTATATGTACCAATATCATTTCACATCATATGAAATGTATATGAGAAGAAAACCTTGTATAAGGAATTTTATTACATTTCATTTATGTGTTTTATTTGTTTCAAAGAACAACTCTGGTTTGGAAATAACTTTTTGATCAACTAATTCATCTTAATAGGATTTACTAGTACTTTTAAAAAAGATGGCATCTTATAGATTCACTTATGTCATGAAAGGAGGTCTCTGATTGGTCTGCATCACTGTCCAATGAGCATTACCTGGATAGATGGGTAATCATCACTAGCCAATAACCATTCATCATTGCATCTCATAGAAGTTGGATTCTCTATACTTCATGGCCCAAAGCCAGAGTGCCAAGGAGACACAACTGTAGGAGGGTAGGTCATGAAGTCCATCCCCTGGTACTGGCTTTTAGCATAACGCTGCTGCAGTGGGGAGGTGAACGGGCTTGGTGGGCCATAGTGCACAGGGTCGGCCTGAAAATGGGAGAAACAGGATTAATTAAGATTAGAATTATTCTGAATTATCAAAAATCTCAACAAATTTAATAGCACACTGCAAAGAGTTTGCTGCTAAAACAATATACATGTTACAATGTACATGTTTCAATACAAGTCATCTGACCTTTTGGCAAAATGTTTTCTGACCAACACTGATAAAAGATCTTGTCATGGGTGTAATAGTTTTGATGTGTGATGACAGATGTTTGACTGTTAACATGTTTGTTAGAATCATAATCAAAGATGACAGAATCCCCTCAGGCAGAACCTTCAGAAATTACATACAAACACAGACAGGCAGACAGACAAATAGAAGCAAACACAAGCAAAGAAACATTACTTCATGCCCATGGGGTTAAGTTATTTGCCAGAGAAAAGTCAGGTATGCACAAAACATGAAATCAAGACAAGACAAAAAGAAGAATAGACATATTTAACAACATTTAAGTTTTACTTTTTACAAAACGCTTATTGACTTATCAACACACAAAATATTCAGTTTGTTTTTAAAATGGTCATCAATATGGTTTTGCACACCTTAAAAGAGTGGATGTTACTGGCATTTATTGAAAATGGTCAGCATGTAAAGGATATTTTTGATTAAAAGTAACAAAACCCTGCACAATCTAATGCACTAGAGAAGAATCTGGATAACATGTTATAATAATATTGAATGTTTGCTGACCTTTTGCTGTTTACCAGATGGAGGTAACGAGGGGGGCGGGGCAGTGGGGGGTTGGAAGCCGGAGTTATGTTGACTGTTAATGATCTGCATGCCGGTTTCATGCTGCTTGGAGGGGGGGAGGAAGGTGCCAGGGAGGTGCACACGGATCCCACCCTGGGACTACAGGGGACAGAAAACACAGTCAGACCAGGGAATGTCATCCCACATTTAGAGGAGTAGTATTTGAGAAAGAGATCATAGTTGCTTATGGGTGATTTTAGTTGCCACTACAGTACAGAAGGAATAAGTGACCCACTAGCCAGTGCTATTCCAATTAAAATGGTTTGGAGGGTAGTTAAATCTTTTGAACCCTAGTCTACTTATTTTCATTTTTTTCAAGATCCACCTTCTTAAATTACAGACAATTTGCCTTCTAAAGCATGAAATTGAAATAGCTTTTGGATGGATGCTTTGATTGTGGGAATCAGAGGTGCAATAAAAGGGACAGGGAATAAGATTGTACTATCAGCTTCTACATTTAGGTTTGTGACTGCTAGACAAAGGAAGACAGGGACATGAAGAAGCTTGACACATTTAAGAAAACTATCATCAAGAATTTTTAGAAATAGAAAGTGACACTTTGCAAGCAAGATATTAAAGAACAACAAAATGCAGATTTTAGTTGCAACTGTGAATGTGATGATGTTTACAAGACCATTCTACAGTCTGTACACTTTTCAGTAATTCAACAAAGCCAAAAAAATGCCACATTTGGAGAAAGACAAAACATCAAACTTACAGATTTAGTTAGTCGGTTGGTTCCCGCGTTAGCAGGGATATATTTCCTGAGAGGGGCGGAGCCTGCACGGGCACCTCCTGCATACAGGGTACCTGGGGAGAAACACAACAGGTTTTACCAAGGAAAACAATACTCATGGTGATGGTATTTAAGTTGATGAAAATAAAGTTCACATCACAACATTGTTGGTTAAAAATAGTGCAGCCAAAATTAGGGAAAAGGTTGTTTTCAGGTATTCATGAGTGCTGGTGTGGTACCTGGCAGTGGGTCCGGTCTGCCGTTCTGTGTGCGGGACTGTCGGAGCGCGCTGCTGTTGTCGTTCCCCATGATCAGCGCCCGCTCCTCTCCGTACTGCGGGTGGGTCGCCATGCCAGGGTGACCTCCGTGGGGATGTTTGTCTGGGGACAGACTGGGAGGACTCTCCTTCTCTCTGCAGTTATCATGGAGAAATATCACAATGAGCTGAAAGTGTTGACCTACTACTATACGCCACTTTCACAAGTTTAACAAAGTCATCAGAAAGTATAACTGTCAGGGCTGTTTCATCAGTTATGATGGAGATTGAAAGTCACAATGAAATTAGTCTGACTCTCTAGATAAGTAGAGTAGTGAATGTTTCATCCTTCCAAATGTTTTTAAAGATCCTAGTGTCTCCACCTCTTCTAAAAAGAAGAAATCCCAGGTAGACTGAATGTTTCAGTTTTAGTTCTTGCCCCTCTGTTCCCAGAGAACAGGACCAAACAAAAGAATACCATCTAGTATAATGTCTACATGTATTAATGAATAAAATTTAAAACTTAATAAAAGAAGAATTTGTGTGCACTGTACCTTCTGAGGAATGGGACCTGTGGCTGCTCTCGTGATGTTACTCCGCTGTGACCGCGGGAATTCTGTCGGTCTGTGTTGTCACCAAAGGGACTGCTGAACCTCTGAGTTTCCTTCTCCTAAAATAAGAATCAAAAGTAAGTATTGGACATTCAACTACACATACCTCTAAAGCTCACAGAAAGATTTCTTAAATGCACAGCAACTTTCAATCCCTAACCACAGGCGATGTGGAAAGTATTAAGAACATTTTGCATAAGACGTTTGAACTAAAACTTCCAGCAGGTGTAAGTTACCTGGTCTGTGCTGTTTTGTTCCCCCTCATCGTCTGAGCTGTCGTAACTTGGCACGCTCTTGGCAAATCTGTGAGCAGCTGTTGTCCATGCAATGGCCTGGGGAAAATGATTTCATCAAGTACATCAAAGTTTGGAATTCCTTCTAATGCCCAGTTCTAACACAGTGATATTCAATAGATTTTGACTATCAATATATATAAAAAAAATACCCATCACTCAAACAAAAGGGTTAAGAGCGTGCCAATTTAGTAACATTAGATACATGTACTATGTAAGAAAGAGGAGTTCAAACCTGAAGGAGGTGAATATATAACAAACAGAGAAGATGTAAATCATGAAGTATTCATACTCAAGTATTAGACTCAATTCCTAATCTCCTGTCTCAATTCCTAATCTGTAAGTACCCGGTACATTGTTTTTATATGTAAGAAACATAAGTACCTGTCCGTTGGCTTTACACAGAATAGTGGTGCACTCCGGCCCTGTTCCCCACTTGTGCTGCTCCTTCCACAGGAAGTCTGTCGGCGGGTTGTGTCGTGCTGTGCTCGCAGCAACTGCTGCCCAGACCTGGGGATATATGGCAAACCAAGGTCAAAGTCAGAATGAAACAGGTCAAAAAGACAAAACACATTTAGATCATCAGCCATTTGCTTCAATGTTTGCTATTGTTGACTAGAGTATAAAATAGTATAGAATATCTGAGTATGAAATATCAACCAACCAGCATTACAGAAAAAAAGATAGACAAAGTTTCAAACTGATAAAAACTGGTGAGCTGTTAGCCAGACTTATAGCTAATGAGTATCAAAGAAAAGGAAGGTCTAATCCTGAGTAACCTTTGAACTAACCAGGAAATCAGCACCAAGGACAGGGAAGATCATAGCCTGAATAACCTTTCAACTAATCAGCCAATGAGCACCAAGGACAGGGAAGATCTCAGCCTGAGAATCTTTGAACTAATCAGCCAATCAGCACCAAGGACAGGTCACAACAACCATTCAATCAACTTTGCAGCAACAGTATCATGGATTGCATGGATGGTTCAGCAAGATACTTTTCCAAACTTAGATAATGGCTTGGAAATAGTAATATGGAGATAATAAAATCATGAATGTTGACAGTCTTTCTTAGGTTTGAATGAAACATCCTTTATTCTAACTCACCGTAGCAGTCTGTGCTGCCTTCAGCCGTGTACGTGGCGGGAAGCGGTACACTGCGACAGGATGTCCACCAACGTTCTGTTGGATCATGTACCCGCCAATCTCCTCATCAATGTTTGTGGCTTGGTTAAAGATCCTCACAAAATGGCCGTCTTGGTTCACTTCCAAGATCTTCAGGTTCCCAGTTGCACTGTGAGGACATGACACACCATCCATGTTAGACACTTCATGAAAAAGAAACCATTTAGTTCTAACCATTTATAATACATATCTGTATTACAATTCTGACTCTTGAAGCAGTTTGTACCTGAGATACATGTCATAATCTTTTATGACAGCAGGTCATAAAAAAGCTTATGAAAAAGAAATGTCCTGTATACAAACCTAGTTGTTGCGATGTGATAGTCATGAGAAGTGGATGACCACTGTGGTCGGCCGCCAGGGGGGCTGGACTTGGGGTGGACCTTGGTGAAAACTGTGTCCTTCTTCAGGTCGTTAAACATGGAGTCAAAATAGTCCCGACCCTGTCCCAGAGGTGCCACAGGGGTCGAGTGAGGTCGTGGAGGGAGTTTGGAGATGTCCGGACTCCTGCCATGGTTGATGTCACTGTCGTCAAACTGAAATGACATTTTACATTCAACATTTGATGACATTAACTACATGGTCAACTAAATTTAAAAGAAACAAAAAATATTTCAACTCCTTCTAATATAGATGTCCAGAGGTGAAAATATGATATCTTTAAGGATGAAATTAATTTTCCCACATTGGGGCTCATCCATTCACAAAATTCACAACAGAAGTCATTGGGGAGAGAATGAAATCACAAGTACAGAATCAATGGTACATTTTCTGTAAATCATTGTCCCGTGTAATGTGACATCAGTAACTCTTATAACTACATATTTTCCCTTAAATAACGACATATATCAGCCTGGACATGACACTTACCCCCCTGGGTGATGCTGTGATTGGTCCGACAGGCTTACTGCCCATGTGTGGTGACGCCAGCTGTCCAAAGCCCGCCGGCAGCTCGCTGGGGTGGGCGGGAGATCTGACGATCGGCGCTAACGGAGAGGCAGAGCTGATTGGTGGGATGGAGGTGACTGATATTTCAGGCTGGCTTCTCTGGGCAACCTCGATCCTGGGGAGATAAATCATGTTGTTAGAAAAGCAGATGCGAGTAATTTTCCTCAATGACACATCTTTACAGCAAATTAAATCTTGCAGAAGTTCCTTGATGATAAGCCATTTTTCTCTAAAATCGCATGTTTCCCACCTTTTATCCTCGTCTTGCAGCATGCCTCTCAGAGCCTCCATCTCCGTCCTCATGGGTGTTCCCTGTGCGGAGACGGGGTCGACCTCCCTGACCTTGGCGATGAGAAGGTCCTGCATCTGGCGCAGTTTGTCCTCCATGTTCCTCAGGTGGGACCGTGAACGGAAACGCTCCTGGTCCAGCGACTCCTGCAGGGACCTGCTCAGCTCCTCGGCATGGGACAGCTGTGGGGAATATGGTGTCAGCATTTCTCTTTACTCTATATATTGATCAGCAAAACTTCGTGGCTACTGTAAATTGTGAACTGCAGTGGTTTTATTTTGCAGTAGATGGAAAGGGCAGGCTTTCAGTGTTTTAAATTTGCAGATAAAACAATTCTGTAATACCTTGACCTCTAGGCTCCTGATCTGGGACCTGAGATCATTGACTGTGATGAGCAGTTCTTGGTTCTCATTGGTCAGCGAGGTGATGGTGCTGTTGGACACTTCCAGCTGCTGATGGAACTCACGGAACTGGACAGGCACAAGAACACTGGTCAGCTTCAGAGGCAGTGTGTTATTCTCAAACCATTTTGTCTTAAGAGGACACAAATTTCTTTAACTGCACATCCAGAACACAGTGGAAGAGAGAGAATAATGATTGACAGACCAATAGAACAGCTGCCCTGTGTACTCACTCCTGCATTATACTTGGACTCCACCTCGTCCTGGTACTTCCTGATGTCTGCGTCACAAGCATCCTTCACCTTCTGGATGATCTCTGCAGCGTTCCTGTCTCCTCCACTCATCTCACGTACTTTAGACTCCAGCGCCAGAACCATGGCCTCCGACCCCTCCAGACGGGCCTTCAGATCATGGGTGTCCTGAAAATATGATTATGGTTGGTTATAGATGCTCTAAACAATAAAACCTTGGAACTTAGAACCGCCAGGACATTCTTTGGGTCACTTCAACTTGAGAAGGATCAAAGGACTGAAGCTTGTTGGTAATTAGCTTTACTTTGTGTCCCGAAATAGGGTATTAAGATCTTTGGTTATACTGGTACTATCTTTTCAGGGTGTTTATACCATTGCAACATTTTATGACAACAAAGTATGTTGAACAAAAGCAAGGAAAGAACACAAAGAACATTGTGGACTTACTGCTCCATGGATCTGGTCTCTGAAGGACAGCTGCTGCTGCATCCTGTTGATTTCCTCCTGGGCTTCCATCCTGCGTAGTTGCTCTGCCTCCAATCTGCCAATCAAAAGTAGCACACTTCAGTTAGGGGTTATCACTGACGTCTGTATAATACTAATATAGAGTAATACGTAATTTTATGTGTGAGTCTGAAATTCACACCAATCACCACCTGTGCTGAAAGTTAGTTGGTTCTAAGTTATGCTACTTTTTTTTCTGTGATTTGGGGCCTGGAAAAGTGAGCTTAACAGATCATCCCACCTCTCTGGATCCGACAGTCTGTCAGCAAGGAATAAGCAACAACACTGTTACAGTAACAGTTTTATTTCCGTATGATTTCAATGTAAATCTTAAACAGTAGTAAAAGTCATCATCACAGAATTACAAGAATCACCTATTATCTTAGGATGGAAAATGATTGACCCTCTATGGAAAACTGCAATCTTCAAAAAGAAAATATTGTGAAAAGCCTTGTTTAGTCACTTATCAGATTGCTAATTTGACAACAAAGTCTATCCCAGCCAAATCTTGGTAGATGTATCGACTTTTCAGCCAATCCAGGCTTTAAATTCTTTTTCTACAAGTCAAAATGTTGACTTACTTCCTGTTGATTTCTTCGTAGCTCCTGCGGACGTGGTCTAACTCCCTCTGTTGTGACTCCAGGGCGATGGCCGGCTGCATGGCAGCAGTCCGAGCACTCTAAAGATGGGAAACGGAGGACTTGTAGGATGCAATCTTTGCATTAAGACAAACAGGTATTCAGCTAACAGCTAACAAAATTTACAGGTGCAACTTCTGATTTCCAACTACAATTATACAGATAGACTAGACTTCCATTTTGATGTAACACACTTACTCACTGCCTGGTTTCTCATCCTGAACATGTTTTGGATATCCCTTACATCACACAGTGTGAGTTCTCACCTGTATCTCTGTATCCTTCTGTGCCAGCAGACGTCCACAGTCATTTAGCTCCTGCTGTTGGCGGGAGATCTGCTGGTTACTGATGTTCACCCTGGGGAGGAACAGGCAGAAAAAACAGTTAGGACATCAAAATAATTTCAGTTCCAACCTGAATGTAAGAGACAAAGCCTGAAGTGCCAAAAAATACTTACATAACGAGAGGTTCTTTTACTACTTTCAAATGACAGTACACATGTACTTGCTTGTGTCACTTCTTTTATAAGAAAAAGTTACTGTGGAACTCTCTGACAGTGTCTGACAGTGTCAGTCTGACCATTGAAGCCACATGAGATCAAAGGTAAACTGCTGTTTTCTCATTTCACTTTCCAATCTGACTTTCTGAAAATTACTTGAATATAAAACATCGTTGTACCATTGAATCTGATACACTGCATGTGTGTAGAGTTTGGTAAAGCAAAGCTTGACCATACAACTAGCAGTCATAACTGATGGCCATGAATAAATGGTGGCACATCTGACCTGTCCTGAAGGTCATTGGCGAGTCGTGAGTTCTTGCTGTTCTCGATCTCCAGTCGTGACCTGTCCAGGCTGACCTCCTGTAGCTTTCCCCGCAGGTCCTCCACCTCGTGTTCGTACAGGTTCCGCAACGTCACCATCTCCTCCTCAAAGATCTTGGTCTGTGCCAAGATGCTGGCTGTGTCATTCTGAGGGATTGTTGGAAAAGTAATATTGACTACATCACTACTAGTGGTAACTTTGTTGGTTCATGGATATTTTGTAACACAAGCCTTTTTGAAAGCAAAGTAAAGCTTTCAGATAACACTTTTATACACTACTTTTGTTGTTATTGCATGCATATACATGTACTTAAAAAAAAGATATCATGATTTTGAAAATAACATCCTTAAAAACCTGATGTTATCAACATGCAATTTTTTCTTTGGTTAAAACCATTATGATAATCCATGCATGCACTCAGATTTATCGTCCACCTGTTCAGTGGTGAAACGATGACGGTTCATGTAGGAAGCAAACATGTCGCTGGGCTGCGGACCCACCTTCTCCTGGTACCGCGGTGACAGTGACGTACTCATGGCGACTCCTGGTCAGGCAGGAACACAAAGAAAACACGGTGTCAGGGACTGGGAGTGGTTGGTAAATAACCCATTGCATTCAATGAGGCATACACTTCCATTACATACCTGTCACCATAATAGTAGAGGTTTACTTTGGGGAAACATCAATTGAACAAAGCTTAGCAAAGGTACTGTAAGATGAATCTAGAACATAAACATTTCCTTTTTTTATCACAGTGTATGAACCAAGACTATAAAAAGGTATTTCAATGAGTAGACAAAGCTCAAACCTTTTTTTGCAATCAATAAAATCTTTATATTATACTACGGTCAAACAACTAATGGATATTGATTGGACAAAAGTAAATACCACTTTGGTTTCATAGCTGGCTGCCCTTGAATCAGCATAGAAAGGCAAACTAAATGGCTGGTACAGAGTTCAACTCCAGAAAAAAAGAATGAGACTTTTATTGTGATAAATTGAAAGGTCATTTCAATACAGATCTCAGCACACAGTCATTTCGAACAACATCACTTGATTGATTTAGTAAACATTCCTTCAGATGGATCACTTGGTTACTTGAAAAGACATGCCATTTATTGATTTCATTGCAGATATAACAATGATTTCTGTGTTACTCTTATAAGTGATTGAAAAAAGAGACTGGACTGATTGCTAAGACCCTTTAGTAAGGGGTAAAACAAGACATTAACATAGTGATGCAACAACTTTGGGTTCCCAGGATTTTCTTCTGTTTGTTTTGACGAAAGCACCATGGCAGTGAAATCACATTTAAAAGCTTTCACACGGCTTAACCTAATAACAACTGCAACACAAAGAAAGTGAAAAGACACGAACAATCATGTTTCACAACAGGTGGATAAAGGTGCATTGTTACCTACATGTATGACCAGGTAAGAGCCTAGAAACACACCTGTCCGTTCCACCACTGACAAAACTTGACTGGGAGTTTGATTAAACAGTGTCAAGTGGATGGCTTACTTCTTATTTCCTGCTCTGAATTGCCTTTTGAAACAGTACTATTCACTGAAGGGTCTGGCAGAAGTATCCTCACCGAGGCTCACGAGAGAAATGTGATCTCTCCCTAAAACCAACTGAGACATTATACTGGTCGGTACCTGTTACACGTATACATGACATTCTTTCCTTGGGGAGTTGAAAGCTTTACATTAAAAATTCATGCAAATTAGAGGTATGAAATTAGTATTTCATGGGACTATAACCACGAACAAACCACCGAGCCTCCACGGGCGTGTATATAATGGTTTGTTACAAGACGATTAGAACACTTGTTGCTGTGATTTGGAAGGTCAGCAAACCGGTTAGTAAAAACGACGCAAACTTCTCGACATACAAACAGACAAGAAAATCACATACTCACCGTTGTGGCTTTTTCTCTGTGCTTCTTCAGAGTCTAAAGGGCTTCTCCGGACCCTTATTCCACTTGATGTTGGGTAGCCGTGCTCTTGTGGGCAGCCAAGTGGGAGTGTTTGCTACGGGAACTACAGCTAGGTGCTTTTGTTGTCGGTTGCCAGGTGCGAAGGGGACGGTGAACTTTGGCCCGGGATAGCGGGACAGCGGGGGGCGGTGCTATTACCGCTGCAAAATGTAAAGCCGTTTCGGCCAGTAACAAAGCATTCGAGGTGTGTAAACATTACTGGTGGTACAAAATCTAATAAGCAATGAAGCAATAATTTTTTAAGCAAATATCCTCAACATGTTGACACAAGAAAGCAATTTCAAGGTGTTCTATGACTTACGTTTGGATGACGAATTTGACAGGTGGCGGGAGTAAAATGACCTGAGTGAAGCGCCCCCAGCAGACTAGCAATAGTACTGCACCATACATGATCAGTCTTGAAGCGAAGGCCGCCTGCACTAAAATGAGGTGGTCCATCAGCCACTATCGATAGGCCGTGCAATAAATTCAAGGAGAGTTTTCCAGGAGCCACGAGATTTCACAAAATGGTCACATATCATAGATCAGCACCAAAGAGGTTTTCCATCCACAGCTCGAATAGATTAGTATTATAGGTTGTAGTTTTTGTCATACATAATATTGAACACACATTTTTGGTCTTTCAAAGTCTCTCCATGACTTCCATCTTTCTTTGTTTGATAGTATGTTTTAATATAAAAATTGAAACCTGCCCTCTCCTGTGTAAAAGTGGTCTCGTCCTGCCATCCCCTCAGCCTGTGGCCATCCCATGGTGCCGTGCGCGGATTGTTATCGGAAGTGTCGAGCGGGCAAAACGGAGGTGATTCCTCGGCCGGGGAGCTGAGCTTTCCCGGCGGTTTTATCCTCACATTTACGGTGATCTCCGGCTCTGAGTCCCCCGGAAGTGTGCTGTGATACGAGGGAATTTGGAACTCGCCGAAAATTGGGCGTGGGGCGGTGAATCACACGCAGAAGCGTATTGTATAACCGTAGACGAGAGGGGTTGCTGTAACAGTGTAAGGAAAACCGTGTTCACGTTTGTCGTGCAAAATCGTGCCCTTGGAAAGAGTCCAACTACCTTTGCTGATATCCACGGAAGGTATCTTCATCCCTCATTTCCTACAACAGGTAAGTCTTCTTCAGTTATGTACGTGTCAACTTTTCAAACCGCTATCTAACGGCGTTTACCAGGACTCGCCTCAGGAAACATTTACTGGGTCAGACGACATGAAACCCTCTCCACTCTCGCGGTCACGGTCACTTGAGTAGTGACGAAATCTCCCCGGTCCTGAGCTTTAAAATCTGCTAAAAATGCACGAAAATTTAAAAGTTTTGGATAAATAGCCACACATCGTTTTCCTGCAAACGTTGGATCTGACGTGTCCCAAGAAAAATTGCAAGTAAATTGACGGTAATTTGCGACAAAGTGATGACTTGTCGTTCAACACGTAACGTGTCAGTGCTAACCGCTAGTTAACTGTCTGTTAAATACACGGGCTTTCCACAGAGTACAGCCACCTCTTGAATAGCAGTTCATTTGTTGTCACTGTGATAGTGTTGTTTAGGTAGTATTTTCCTGTGTTATTTTACTGTTGATGTAAGTACGTGATCTACCGAGAACGGTACATCAGGTCATGAGTCATTGACCTCTGCGGAAACCCACCATCCTCCATATTAGATAGATGGCCCCATGGATTACCACGAAAGCGTTAATTAGTCGGAATAATTATGACTTTTCACTGGATGTGGAGAGCAAATTGTTAGAGCTACGTTATGTTCAGTGGGGAGGGGCTTCTGAATGATACATATATTCAAGACAAAGAAGTATATGTTGTTTGAGATCTGAAGTCAGTGAGAAGAGGGGTAATCTTGTAAGTTGTAGAGACTGCTATTTTTATCAGTGATGACTGACACTGGTACCTCTGATTGGGTAAGAGAGTCGGTATTGGAGAAACTAATTAGCTGTTTGGTAGTCATACCATGTTACAAATAATAGACATTTTTCTTATTTTAGTCTTAGCTGCTTTCTTTCTCTTGGATATGATATTGATTGTTGCAAAGGCAAAGATGAACATTATAAGCACACAACTGTTATCATCACCACAACTGTTTAATAGACATATACACAGGAACAGTTTTGTCACCATTATCTGTTACAGCCTAAGTGTAAATCTTTTGGTACACACATAATGAGTCAACTGTAAACCACCAACATTCTCAAGTTTTCTTAAAGGCAATGTGTATAGTCTTTACGCAGCCTGCCAGACCTTGTGTTGTATATGTAAAGTGAAACCATGATATTGGATAAGCTGTGGCTAAGACTTTAAAAGCTTTAGGAAACTGGCGTTAATGTTGGGCTGTGGTCCAAGAAGGTTGAAATACCATATCAAGTAGCCAGGTATTTGGGTCATTTTAGGATGGCCTAGAAAATGCCATTTTGTAGTTAGCCACAACAGAAAAGTCTAGTCACCTATCTGCACTGTACATAGATGTAAAATTGGGAGGTGTCTACAAGGTTTTGGAAATAAATGGATATGCGTCACCTTGTATCAATCACACCAACATGAATTCCATGGCTCCAATGCTTGGAGATCTCCTTTTAAAAAGTTACATGCCTTAATTAAGGTGCCTCCATGTTTGCTAAATATTTGGGCATTTTGAATGTGCTCAACTGGAATGTTCGTAATGTATTGCAGCCCTGCTGCATAGATCTAGTCTCAAGACTGTGAATAGAAGAAGTAGAAACTAGAATTCGGTTCTTCACCTTTTCAGATGTGCCAGCAGTATCCTTATCACTCAGGTCCAGCTGGCATTTCATAATTGCTCTTTTGACACCTGGTCTGACTATCAAACATGGGGTTGAAGTGAACCAAGTGAACAAGGCACATCTGCATGCCCCAGGGACACCCAACACTGAGGATTCCTCATGTTTTATTCCTTCCTCATGTCACCTGGGACATGCTAGGCTGCCCTGTGCTTACATGGTGCTAAGCACAAGAATGACCGAAGTGGAGATGACTGTTAACTGAAGGATACTGCTAAAGGGCTACACTTTTTTGAACCAAATGTCTTATAGCTTTTTATTGTGTCCCAAAGAATTCCCTATATTTACTCAGTTTGGCATGGTAAGTTTGATACTAAAAGAGTAAAAGTACTTTCATGCAGAGTCACATTACATGGCATCTAAATTATGTCATTATAATTGATTATTATTGGCTTTTCAACTTTTTAGGAAAGTTCCATTATACCTATACATGTAGATCTAGCTCAATTAGACTTTCAGAAATGTCTATAAGATAAAGTCTTATCTGTCAAACTCACATTTCCACACTTTTTTGTGCCACCTGTATTACTTTACCAGTCCAGGGGTGCCTTGTCCTATTTCATGGTTCAGCCCTATTTCTTTAGGTAAACAGAATCTCTGTAGGTCCTGTACATCTTTGACAGACAAGGACTGGTCCCCTTTTCATACTGCCTCATCCCAACAAAGAACGCACTCCAACTGAGAGCACATGCTCGCTACATTCTTGGTTTTAGTCTTTTGCTTGCCATGGAAGCGAGGTTCAAAGGTCATGGGAATAACACAGATGACTTTTGCTGCAAGAGTCCATTCCTTGCCAGAAGTCATCTGTTATGGGTCAGTTGTGTTAGTTTTAGCGTTCGTAAATACAAATGTATTCTTTAGGCCACCTATTTGGTACATCAATGTCTGGTGATAGCATTTATTATCATGTATGCCATGTATCTATCGGTCAACTGGATATGTTGATAGAACACCACATATGTGTAGTACATTGTTTGAAATGTTGGTAGTGTAACAACTGATGAGTGGAAACATATCCAGATGCATTATGTGTACATGTATTTGCATAAATGTTGCTATCTGAATTTGTATTTGCTTATTACCATACTCATGTTCCCATAATCTATTTACTTCTTTGATAATGTGACCAAATTCTTATTTCAATTCGTAAGGCACCCAAACTCCAAAACAGTTATTGGTTTCAAAACTTTTCCAAAACAGAGAAGTTTTAATTTATTCAGGATTGTCTGTTTTGCTTGTATAGATTATCTGTCTCTTTTTCTTGATTTTTCATATTTCTTATGAGATAAGTTATACCTGATATGAAAATATTTCTGTGTATTACTGAATAAACATGTACTTAGTATGTTACTTTTACGTAATGTTATCTCAAAAAGACATTGAAATCCCTACCAACCACTAGTGAATCATTTGATGGTGTCTGGTATGAGTGGATTTGTCCATGAAGATTCTGTCCAGGATCCTCAGATTACCGTACAATGCACAGATACAGGTCCTTTGTGTTGGTAGGTTTAATTTGTGGTGATCTCTGGTCTGTAAGTCCCTTGCTAATCACCAGTAGTATTGTGTTTTGATCCCATGTGCTCATTATGATGTGGTTCCAGGTGGGTGATTATTGTGGGATTGTCTTTGTCAATCTTGTTAGGCATTTCCCCAGGGCAAGGGTAAGGTAATCAGGCGAATGTGCAACTGCATTTATATTAGTCTGAAATTAGACACCACAGTGTTCAAAATACATGACTATATTCAATTATTTGATACAGACTACATTGTATAATGAAGCTGCTATGAATTATACTTACCACATATATGTAATAGGAAAGACTTTGGGGGTAAAACTGAACAAAGATCTATTAGTAATATCTTTTAAAAATATACCTTGGTCAAAAACCAATGCTGGATCAAGCAACAAGTATGCAGTACTAGTATACAATTGACTTTTTAATTACCAGTGAAGAATTTTACCCTGTTGCTGCATGGTAGTTTCCTTCAAGAAGGAGCAAAATATGATTGTTTGGCTTCACAAAGTGCTTTTCAGAATACAGCCATTTTCAATATATAAGTCCAGAGCAAGCGGGTCGTATACATGTAAGAGTAACAGTAACTGTTACTCATCTGTTAGTGTTAGTGCCCGTAATGGTACATTCATCTTTATGGCCCTTCCTAAGTTAAACATACATTGCATGCTTCCGTTTACATGCAGCCCTGCGTACCATGACTCAACACCATTGTACTATTGTGAGTTTGTTTGTCCTACTCTGCAGACGTCAATTGAGAGCTGAAACTGGGCAGCAACCCTTGTTTTCTGTGGCAACATGGGGACTCAAACTTTCCAGTACGTTTACATGCTATACAAATAAAATTAGGGTCTGAGTTATGATGGAAATGGAGGATTCACATTGTGGTGCTGCTTGTGCAGCGTCCTGGTGATGTTTCGTAACTTGAAGGTCTTGACTTAGCACGTAGACATTTGCTTTTGCCTCATTCTGCAAGTACAGTAGTTCTGTCAACAGAGCTTTAGAATTACAGAACTCTCAACAATAGGCATTTACCTGTCCTTGAGGAAGTAAGTTGATGTATGGTCTTTCCTAAAAATGCAGAAAATTTTAATACTATCACTGTCCTTTCTTTCAGAGTGAATTACAGCCCAATGACTGAACACATTACTGTCACACTATGTGACAGAATGTGGTCCACTGTGACAGAACTGTTGTTGTTTGGTCATGTGTAAGGAAGGTAACCTTTGTCTGTTAGGGAATTACTTCAAATAATGGAGAATGGTTCAAGGGCAAGACCCCTTAATTACTCCATACAATATATCATTTCCTGTCAAGTGCTAGCATCTTTTTTACCTCCATGGTGCTAGTAGATCTATCAAAATGTAAAAGTTCATACATACCCCTTTTAGAACATGTATTGTTGATGAAAGTCCCTGTAAAACTATAATAAAGACAAGTGATTGTTGAAAAAGGTTTACTGCCATTAGGGCTTCATGTCTTTTTTTTCTCATCTCCCACATTGGGTTAGAGGTCAGTATATACAAAACTTCCTCCTTGCCCCCCACATGTGCAGTCTAAATCCCCAGAGTACCCCACCTAACAAACCAGAAAATTGATGGACAAAGGCCTATTTGTTAATACTGGGCAATCTAATCACACCCTGTGAATACTAAGTGGTTGTGTATATACTACAAAAACATTTTCTTTCCTAGTTACCAGGTACCACTTGCAGATCAAAGAATTTCTAAAGGGATGGAAACCAGGTTCACAAGATTGAAGTTTGGAGTACATTTGTATATGTCCATATGGTCAGCAGAACACTGGGTTATTCACAAAGCCACTGTCACAGTGTACAGTGAATATCTCCTATATACTTCAAACCTTGCCATTGGCACCTTTGCTATTTCAGTATCTGTTTGTCAGTAAAAAGGCCTGTATACAATGACAAGAATGTAGAAAATGTTCTCTATCCTGTAGCTCATACATCATGCATGAGAAGGTTTTAGGGGCAGTCGTTGTTATTGTCATATTGAAATGTAGTAGTTTATTCACAACTAAGGCAGACCCATACAGAATTAAATATACGTGTATGTCACCAAGAAATTCCTGTGCTGGAACCTTCCAACCCCTTGCAGTGAGTTATACAACTAAAGTTTGAGTTTAGATTTATTCCATCTTACTCTTGATTTTTACAGCATGTACTACGATGTAGTGCCAGTTTATTTTTATACTTTTTAAATCGGGAAAGCTCAAGCTCACAGCCTTACGAGTGAGATTTTAGTGAGTAAAGCAGGAGTGAGAAAATAACCTTGTCAAGGACCTTCACATGACCAAAGGGATCCCTCTAACTTACAAGGTAAATAATACCAGGACATTGAATACCAGGGTAGGAGGGCTGAGCCATTCTGTAAGACTGTTGATGTGACATGTAACCTGGCCCATCCTTTCTTTAGCCTTCTGTTCTTTAGCTGATTACCAAACAGTCCTGCCTCCCGGTAGAGTTACAGACTCATAGTTATGTCGTGCCTTCATTATCAGGGTGACCCCGGACATTGTTGCGAACAGACGTCATGTCATGAGGTCAGAGATAGTTGCATTATCTACAGTCCCAGGCAGTTGCAAAAGATTTGGGAGAGACTGAAATTTTTGTGTAAGAATCTTTTATGAACATAGCCTAGGTGACAAAAGGATACCAACCTACAAATCAATCAATAGAATGTCTACAATGTGTATGCATGTACATGTACCAACATAATTCTGCCAGGTCACATATATCTTAATTAAAACTCGAAGCTGAGTCTAGTGACTTGGTAGATTAAGATTTTCAGAATAGACCTATACATGTAGAATTTACCATATATAGATGTATCTCAAAAATATGTAGCCTTCAATTGCATTGAATTGAATGCTTTTTACTGAGTCACATGTTGATCATTGCCCTTTCCCTGTGTTAACATTTCCTTGTGAGATGTTCTGTCTGTCAATATCAGCTATCCTGACAATGTTATGTTTCGCATTTTGCCCATGCCACAGGTCTGAAGTTCATGGCAGGAAGTGAATAGAACTAAAGAGAGACAACAACATCATAGGGATTAGATATAGAGGTAAGTTTTTGCAGGTTTCTGACATGTATCTTTGCTATAGTAATACTATGTAGAACATACATGTACAATCAAAACTGCCCAAGATAACCACTCAGGAGACCAATAAAATCTGGCCTGAGAATAGGTGTTATACATCAATATATACAATGCTTATGTCAATGGGAAAAATCATCTAAGCCACCACCAAAAAGTGGTCACATAGGCCAGGTGGTCCTTAATATATTCTTCTATGTACACCACACACTCTCTATGCTTCTTTAGCCCTCACACACCAGCACTGTCATGTTCAGAAGATTCTGTTGTATATCAGACCTGTTGATAAATTGTGTTCTTCATGTACAATAAATATACCATACTTGCAAGTGAGCAACATAACATAAGACATGCACCTGTGCATTCTTGAGTCAGGACCCCCCACCCCAACCCCCTTCAGTGCTGAATTCTTCTCCTACTTCAGATCTGTTACCAATTATACCCATAAAAGGAACCAAATGATTCAGGAGATCAAATCTTGACCAAGTATTTGTGTTATCAACTCTCATTAGACCTTACCTACAGTGTAGATGGTTTGAAATGCAGGTAGCCAGGAATGAGAAGGTAAGGCTTCCGAGCGTGAATCAGTTTTTTAAGTATGCACGATTTAATGGCTACAGTTGGGTCCTAAAATATCCTTGTGCTGTACATGTGCTGTTTCATTGCCCCTTCTTGCTGCCTTATGTCTGTCTGCTCCAGCTGTAGTCCCTTGGGTGTCTGTAGGAATAACACTGTAAATCGTGAAGACAGGCATTATCTTGATGCCATTGTGTGAGTGACTTAGGCTATGGTCTTGTCGTCCCCTTCTTAATAATTCATGTCATCCACACCTAACTGATCCTGTTGGGGAATGGAAAGAGTTCAAGGCCAGGAGAACATTTTGATTGGGAAAAATCTAACTATGCCTTGAAAGATGTATTTCCATATAGTTTATCGAGAAAATGATGTGACATTCTAGTATTTCTTTCAAATCAGTTGGAAATGCCTCCTTGAGTGTGTATGTACACACAGAGTCCTTGATTTACTCCATAGGATGGCTCATGGACTAAATAAGAAGATAAATCTGCAATGGAAGGACTTTTGGTCCAGATTAGAAATGGAATGAAAGAAAACTTGATCTCTCTCTGAGGAAAACATCCGTATGATGACTGAGTGTAATGAAATCATTCCAAAACTTTTTCCTTTGTAGTTGTTGATGATGAACAGCAGTCATATTGCAATGTACAGTAATTAAAGACAATGCAAGCTTGAAGTCTTCACTTGTTTCAACCTTGAAGATATATTACTACAGATTTCTTACTTCCCCAGAAATCCTGAAGTTTATGGGAAGGCCACACGCAGTGGTCAAGTTTATCAGCAACACGCTAGGGTCGGACAAAAAGCAGGCCTGCTTCAGAAGGGACCGACCTGGTCATAATTTTTTGCGATACCAGAAAATATCTTAATTAAAAGCAGCTTCCTTCTCTACTTATCTGTTCATTGATGGTAAAGGTAATCCCTACAGTTGTACTAAATTGTAGGTGTATATATTTACTGCAGCTTGAATGCAATTACATGATAATGGAATTCTATTCAAGAAGGAAAGAAATTCCTGGAAAATACTGGCATTGAACAAACATGAAGTTAAGTTATACATAATTTTAAAACATTAACATGTCATGGAAACAAAGTTTGCTTGCCATGGAAACAAAGTATTTGCCTTCTTAGGCAGTTACCCCTATACCATGGTTCAGTGGGGGTGTAGTCTGTATAGAAAGAACATGTGGTATGACTTGGAATGCTCTACTTTTCTGGTCCAACTCCAATACAGGGGACGGGGTTGTCTCAGGAACATCTGGATGCTTTCAAAATCAGACCATTGTTTTGTCCAGCTTGAAATTCATCATTTAAGCAGTCAACTGTTATTACAATATGACACTGTCTTTCCGGGTGTATTTAGCTTGGCTCTGATGACTTTTTGTATGATCTGATCTTGAAGACCTTGAGAAGTGCTCACATATTCCTCAAGTCTTGGGAAATGTCTGCTAGACTATTAATTTGTTAGCTCTCTTCATATCGATAAGGCATGATTCAATTCTTGTTTTCCCTAAACAAGTCTAGCAATATAATTTCTGCCATTATATTGTTTGATCATGACTCGGGAAAGAGTGGATTTTTGGAAGACTGTCGAGCTATGTGGAATACTGCAGTCAACAGTCTATAGGCTTGAATGTGAAAATTCTGTCCATTTTCGTATTGTAATTGATTTCTTAAACACACACAGTCTGTGTTTATGACAAGAATAATCTATCAACCCTAATCCAGGTCTAATAGGCATTTCCCTGGATGTGCCAAAACTTACTTGGTCACAGATGTGACATACAATATGTATCATATGTTTTCAATAAGTAAGTTAAACAACTTTCACTCTAATGATCTTCAGAGTTCTGCTGGATAAATCCCACATCTTGTGGTCTGGAGCACAGTGGGAACTGGTCATACCCATCATACCCCCTACAGAGACTCTTGGGGATCATAAGATGGTTTGCCAAATCATGTTCTATCAATCATGAGGGAGGAACAGTTCAGGTCATCACAGGTCATTTGAAAACTATATAACACTTGTAAATCTGTACCTTTGTTATTGGTGTAATAACTTGGCAGTACTAGTATATCAAGTTGGTGGGGCAAAATGTTGTCATGGATTTTGAAGAGGTGGGATACTTGGCAGAGCTTCTCTTCTTTGTGCAAAAAAACATGTGTCCCATATAGTTTTACAGCCAGGATAAAGACCCAAGCTGCCAAATTGGACTAGATGAGGCACACATTATCTTTCACTATAGTAGTATTGGCTGCTGGTTCAGTTCCAAGGCCACTGACTTACATGTAGACCCTCCAGTAAGTCTATCCCAGTTTGACCATTTTTGTAGGACACGTAACGATGATTTTCATCTGGTATGCATCACTGATTTGGCAAAACTACCACATGGGTTTCTAACTGCCAGCATTGGTTATTCAAGTTCAGTGTCTCAGTGGAGAATCTTGATGTACAATGTACTGTACATAAACTTGGCTAAATTTACAAATATCAATATGACAATTCAAAAGTGTCTTTCTTTGATCCCTAGAATGTTGTATGAATTTTTTTTATACAACTGAATAATTTATGTTGGTAGATTCTCTAGTTTTTCACCATAACATGTCCTTTAACCTTTAAGACTGGCACAGATAAATTTTTAATGTGGTCATGTACAATTCACAACCAACTTCCTTTGTTGTAAAGAGCTCCGTGATGGTCCTTGCTACAAATAGTCCTGACATCAAAGCTAATGCCAGTGATTGAGGTGAGGGACAAATATTCAATGTACATTCATCAATAGAGATAGAATTATGACGTATTAGTGTATGCATGTCAGAAAGTAAAGGTTTTCAAAGTCTGTTGCATAAAAACATGTCTAAGTTCGAAAACAAAGTCATCCAAACTTGGTATTTAAGTAGAGTTTGATGCAAGGTAATTATTTAATATTAGCATGCTTCAAACTGTCCTCAAGTGTACCTGAAAGATATTCAGTATAAAACAGCAGTAGTTTCAATAGTAATGTCTGGGATAAAGTCATTATACCTGGTAATAGAGGATTCAATTCAAAGTTTATTCAAACCATGGGTGTGGGTGGCCCACTGTTTTAGAAACATGATTCTAAAGTTTAAAATCCCTTACCACTTGTCAATTTGGGTAAGTTATCAGGAGGAAATACTGTAAATTAAGTAAAGCATATCTATACCTCAAAGGGTTAAATAAAAATAATCTCCAGCAATGTTTTCTTAGCTTCAGTTTCCATTAGAAGTAATATTTTAAATGCTCTACAGGGAAAACTAGCCATGATGTCTGACATGTGCTCTGGGTGTACATGTACTGTAGTTTATTTCTACAGAAGGTCCATTAGAACAGCTAGGTCTGGCAGGGTTGCCAATGTTTCCTTTGGAAACCAAGTTTGTTTGGAAAGAAATGGTGAAGTATTATTACTATTAACCCTTAAAAGTCTGGTCTTGTTTTCTTTGGCTTGTTCACGTAGGTCTAGGCTCAGTGGCATTTCTGCTAAACCGGTGGCATTTCACACCAGAGTAGCTTTTTGGCCAGTTGCACAGTCTTACCAGTAGTTTATGTTGAAGAAAGCTGTTACTGTGATCTGTCAACTGTATCACCTGTTGAAACTGTTTGTACGTACATGTATTTTACATATGTACCTGCATAGGTAATAATTACAATTTATACAGTTCCTTTCCCTTGGAATTTTCCACGTCACTATTGAAGGCAGAATCAGCAGCTTTCCTGGGTACAAGCAGGACATGTCTCCTGTGACCAAAATGGCCTGGGTCAGTGAAAGTATGTAAGGAGGAGGACAAGTCCACAGCAGAAAGCCCATGTTGCCTGGTGGTCAGGCATCTGTGATATGTTAGTTATTACTTCTGGGTATGGAAAAATACTTTGTTGTATTGTTTTGGGTGGCTGAGTTGTGGGTTTGTGTGCCTGTTTGTCCGAGTAGCAATTGTTGCCTGAAGGTGGTTTTGACATTTGATTGATAAGGATGTCAAGCCTAAAGGTCCCACAGAATAAATGGGCAGTACATGTATGTGGAGGATGGGATGTTAAATGGACGTCCAATGTTAAGGAAAGCTGCAAATCGACCATCACACTTATCAAGGAATAGAGGTCCTTCATAGTAATGTAAATGGTGGAAAACTTAACAGTCTCTTATATAGGCAACAGAATCTTCAAAAACATGAAAGCAGTTGTCTTAACAGAAACTGCAAAAGGAGAAGAAGAGTTCCTGTGGTTAGGGTTGTAGTTCCTCATCTGAATCAAGCTGGTGAAACAGGTGGCAAAATATTGCCCCTCCAGCTTTGTTAGCCTGGATTTAAAAGTATGTTTCCAAGCTGGTCCACAAAACGTTATAACAACCCACCATTCCTTCTTTCCTCATGGTATT